TGTCTGTCTCTGTCTCTCGATCTCCCTTAATTTACTTCTCATTCTCACACACACCCACTTACACCCACACACATCGATCCTGCTCTCTTTACTATTTCATAATATTTCTGCATAATTATATGGCGCTTAATACATCGGCAATGTCCAAGTTTCTAAGCGCTTTATATTATTACCCCGGCATCGGATTCTGGCTTGCCCGCACACAATGTATGCACTATCTTCACTCCCTGGGGAGCATTCAAGCAAGAGCTACTAGGCTCAAATTGCTTAGCATACTACATTGGCTTTCGCATCCTACCGGATACCCATTTAACACCTGGGTGGAGAGTGGCAAGTGTAGATCAATGTCTTGCCAAAGGACAATATTGTCGCGGCGGGTCTCGAACCACCGACCTTGTGATCGACAGTCCGGTGACGTATCCACTCGACCACAACACTTCTACATCTCGCATCTGTGTTTAATAATTTTGTAATTCTCTCGATATGTAAATATAAATTTATATATATCTCTGATTACTTTTATAATTCCCTAATATTACTCTCTTCTCTCTCACTCCCTCTCTTTCACCTATCAAGTTTCTCTCTCTTAAATTTCCCCTCGTCTTTAATATCTACCTTCTTTTAATGCATTTTAATTTAAGACGTTATATCATACCTCTAGAACTAGCTGCTAAGGAGCTATGTAATTTGTCGTTTCCAATAAAAAAGGAGATGTGTAAAAAATTACCTATACAATGTTCGCATTTGAAATGAAATGCCAAGGTACAATTAAATGGTGGGGAAAGACGGTCTAGCGACACTCGAGGGATATCGCAACAAAAAGGAAAGGGAATCGATAATATTTTGAACATGGAAATGTCCTTCGTCTGCTGATGCTGCTGCTACTGCTGCTGCAGTAGGTTCGGGCACTCCTATTCGTCTTTCCGTTTCGTTTCACTTTTCAGTCTAGCAACATAACAAGAATAACGATTTTCTTTCCATTCCACCAATTATGTGCACTTCATGTGGATTTCTCCCCTTTTAAATTCACAAAAGGCTTGCATGTTACGAGAGAGATATCGACGAGTTAACAGCCACGATCTTCAGTGAATACTGATGCCGTAATCGAATCAAATCAAAGAGTTGTCGATATTGTCCACAACGTCGAGTAGGCAATGAAATTGCGACACGGCTGATTTCGAAAGACATTCTGCAGACGTCCCTGCCGCGAATTTGGGTTGAAAAATGATCGAGCGAAAGCGCGCTTCGTGTTTTATTTTGCATTACATCAAACTTGACTGGAGAGTCCATTAACTCGTTTGTTTAACCATAACAAATAGAATTAATGCCCTTTTGGACCTAACGAGACAGAAAATCGAAAGTGCAGCTACGCGATTGTTTAACAAACCCAACATGGTGAATGTAAATCCATGGAAATTTAACTCAATTCATGTTAAATTCAACATGCTTTTAAAACTCATCTTGTGGAGTAACATAGTACGAAGCACAATATTATTAACGCCTGCTTTGACAAACATAGATTAAATTACTAAGACTATTCACAGGCATGATTCATTGAAAGCCCATATCTTTACAACATTCGTTGCAGTCAAAAATACCCACTGAGTTGGTTACAGAACAGACATGACAGAAACACATATTAAATGATTTCAGATTTGTAGGGTTTTTGACTGCTTCTTTGATTTGGGTAAGTAGTCAAGAGGCGGGAATTGATTCGTTTATTAGAAAGTCCTTTGAACTTTTATAAAGTGACACGCACCATTTAGGAGTTTGCGTAGTGTACATCAGATTACGTCAGGGAAGATAGAGGGAGATCAACAGATAGAGAGAGGCAGACAAGATGGAAAGGAGAGATACTGGTAGACAAAATGATGAAATGAAAGAGAGAAACGGAAAGATAGAGATCTAGAAAAAGAGGTGTGAGTGGCAAACAGAGATTGAAAGATTGTTTGAAACAGAAAGAGAAAAACAAAAATTATTACGAACAGAAAAGAATGAACTGTTCTTGTGTGAGCAGGAGGGACCGTTCTAGAAATAAATGACTCTATAAGACACATTTCCTGCTCACTTGTTCCGCTTCTTTCTTAAACAAATTCTTTAAACAGAATAATATATCATGACATCACTTCCTAACAGGATAAATTGTCATCATTTTCTTTAAATATGATATATGAAATATTCACAATTTTACAAAATTTCTGTCACATTATAGAATAATTATCAAGTAAAAGAGTGTTGAAAAATGAAGAAAACTTTATCCTTTTATAATTTGGAAGAGTGATTGTTATTTTGATTGATAGCCTGAACCGGAAAAAGGGTACCAGTCTATAAAACTGGTGGGAAATATTCGTTTAAAGCATCCATATGCAGAGTGAGTTATGTTGCTGTAATGTAAAACAGGTGGCTACCCTAGGGGGGTTTCTAAGAATAATAGATCATGTTTATCGATCGATTTCTTTATATGAATTAAGGTTGAAAAGATGAGAATTTAATAGTCCGAATTGATTCCCGATAAACAAAGTCGTCACATCGATCAAAGCTCTCTAATCTCTATCTTATACTCATATGTTTGTCACCTCTAACGACAAATCTGTCTAAAAGGAATTTTATGAGTAATTTGGGCATCTACCCTAATGTGCGTTCTATAACGCGCATCCGGTAGAGGAAACGAAACTCTGAAGTGTCAACAATCTGTTTTCACTCACGAAAAAACAAAAAAACAAAATCGCTTCAAACTTTTCAACATTCATTTTTTACAGGAATAATAAATTGTTTTTGGCTTGATAAACAATATAAGATGGGCGATGAAACAAAATGACTTCTCTTTAACAAAGTCTGTATTTCCATCCGAGTTTTGTATGGTATGGTGTCTTACATGAAATATCTGATAATCTTAAAATAACGATTACGTAAAATGAATAAGTTAAAATAAAAGAAGCAATTGTTTGCATGTTATATGAACTGTAGTAGTATAAAAAATAAAATCAATCAATGCAATCATAATAACGGTCTAAAGTTTATTGATCAAAATTATTTGACCCCGTAACTCAGGCTTGTTTAGCCAACAGGTAATCTTTGGGAAAGATTTAATCGTGCAGGTGTACCATAAGACGGGGTTTAATCCCTACTTTCGAATCAAATTGTGTGTGGTTTTCAATTTGGTATGAATAGAGCGTCCCTCGTTTCAGGGAGGTGAGGCCGCTGTATTGTGGGTAGCCGGAAGGCAAGGGAACTCTCACCACCCCCCTAAGTGGAGTCTTGGAGAGAATGACTGTCCGTCATGCATGCCATCGGTGGAGCCAGCATTTTGTAAAAGACGGGGACACAATATTTCAAAAAATCTGTAGAGAAGCAAGGGGGGGGGGGGGCACTTTTTGTATTTGTGTAAAAGATATGCCACATGGGATTCACTTGGGGGAGTGGGCATGGGCCGGGTGTCAGTTGTGCCCATAACCCCCCTCCGCCTCAACCAGTGGACTTACCCTTTACCAAAAATACCATGAACTGAATAACGCTCAGATTGCAAATGTCTTTCCCAGTTAATTTAATTTGCCTCGGTGAAGTCCATTCTTCTTTCAAAACATTCGTACTTAATCTACATCATCATGGTGTTTCTAGCACTTCGTAATTCGGCGAAATCACCCTTTTCACTCTCTTCCACAACGAAATATTTACCAATTACCCTCTGGGTAAATATGATTAAGTGTTGCACGGGTAGATCTAATCAAATCTCTCCGCCTTCGGACGAGATCCGATAGTCTGCTGTCTTCTGCCGATATCATTCTGTCGTGTACCGATAGCATTCTGTCGTCTGCTCTCGTGTTTATATTTCCGACGTATTATAACGATTTTACGCGCGTGCACTCACGTTCATTCATGAATTGTCTGTTCTTCCTGTGTCTATTACTTTTTAGATAACGTCAAAGGCGAGGGAGAGATCAGTGGGGATTTAATATATTAGAAAGTTTCCTTTTTGGAATTTCTGTTAAAACGTAAAACGTGTGAGAATTAGGATTCGTGTAAATGTGACTTTTATGGCAGCCTGTTTTTTTCTTGTCGTTAACCTCTTTTAAAAATAATTTCAAAGACTAAACAGTGAATAAGTCATCTTCATATTCAGTTGCAGTCGTATTTAGACACGAAGGCAACGGAATTCAAGTGAATTAAGCACATCACATTCTTCATTAATAGTAAAACTGATCTAGTGACATGTTTATCGTGTCAATTAAATTCTTCAACTCTTCAGAATTGACGATCATGGCGGAAGATCAAACTAAAATAAATGAGTGCGACTAGAGAAAGGTCACGACCGACAATAACTGTTGAAGTTTACCAAAAAGAGAAAGAAAGAAAGAGGGAAAAGAGATGTTCAAAGAAGTTTAAAGGACCCCTCCAACACCTTCAGTATTATCGTTGATCTTGCTAATTTGAATTTGTACCAACCTTGAATGACAACCCCCTCCGTGGCCAGACCTATGCTATGCCCTTGCGTATATAGCGTAATAAAGAAAGAAGGAAAGATTATCTGCATGGCTGTGCAGGGCTTACATCATCCAATTATCTACATCCATACGTCAATCGTTTTTATCACATTTTACGCCCAGAAAGCAACAGTAAAAGAAAAACATTCATATTTGTTCGATAATTTCAAACAAAGTCAGCCGACTGGAATAATTTATTTGATTAAGGGAGAGTCAAGGGCATCAGTATAAACAGTGTTAGAAGTCTTGGGCTCTAACTGTTGATCACTTTCCTTTGATGACACTTTGCCTTTTAAATGCCTTCCTGTGACGTAATAATTGTTTTTTTAATTTGTTTATTTAGGCTCTGTTTGTTATATTCTGTATATGTTAATATTTCACTTGTGGCTATATCAAGTGTATTGGTTGTTGTTGACTTCAGTTTCTATGTGTCCCTTCCCCCCAAAAAAATCTGAAACTTTTTTTTAGGGAGTGAAACATGAAAGAAAATAAACGAAACCATATTGTAACGATACTCTTCTGTGTCGTTCTTTTCAGGTGCCTTCACCGTGGTCCCTCTGTCGGGTCAAAACCAGGAGTACAACAACTACCTCAAGAAACTGAACCCGAGCAACAGTGACAATCCTTGGCTGACATCCTTCCTGGAAAAATACGGAAGCTGCGTCAGTAACAGCTCCAGCGGGTGTCTCTCCTGGACTTTTGAAGGCGTCAGCGATATCGATTTGAGTTCCCATGAGACCATTGTCATGGACAGCGTCATGACCTTCGCCTACGGTCTCCACGCCATGCAGCAGGACAAGTGCTCGGACCCGAGCCTAGGGTTGTGCGAAAACATGACCAATCTGGATGGAACAGAAATCAGGGACTACCTCCTGCAGACGTCATTTGAGAGCCCAGTCAACGGTCACGTCGAGTTTCTGGACAATGGTGACATGGGAGGGCGCTATGGTATCAAGAATCTGCAGTTGATCGATGGGGTATACGACTTCTTGGATGTCGGGACGTGGGTCGATACCGACAGTGATGAACGGTTGGTAATCTATAAAGAAATTCCCTGGTACATCGAAGGGAATCATAGCCTCTGGGATGGAGACACCGGCATTCCGCAGTCGGTCTGTAGCAAACCTTGCGAAACTGGACAGAAAAGAACTGTTCTTCCAGAGAACCCTTGCTGCTGGTCCTGCACCGACTGCTTACCGAGTCAGATCGTGAACCACAATGGCACTGTGTGCAGTCCTTGCGTTATCAAAGAACAAGACATCTTCGATTGGCCTAATGAGGACAGGACGGTGTGCATCGAGCTCGAACCGGTCATCAACAGGGCATGGACAACCGCCATCGTCATCCTGTCAACTATGGGACTCATCAGCACCATCATCACCTTCACCATCTACGTCCTGAACCGGGAAAAACCCTTGATAAAAGCATCGAGCAGGGAACTCAGCTACATCATCTTCGCTGGTCTCTTCCTCGCTTTCCTAACGGCTCTCCTGTATGGCGTCAGTCCTACTCCCGGAGTCTGCGCCATCAGGAGAATGGGATCCCCCGTGGCCCTTTCCCTCATCTATGTTTCCATAGCAACAAAGACTATACGCCTTTATAGAATATTCCGAGCCGGGCTGAAGTCGGCGAGACGACCCCGTTACATCAGTCCAACATCGCAGGTCACACTCACACTCATCATATGCATCGCACCTGTAAGTGAAGTTGTTCTCTTTACTTTTTTTCCGTTTTGAAAAAAAGATTCATTGAAAGAAAGATCTGACTTCAATACTAAATTCAAAAATAGCATAGAATATAACGTCTGCTGAAAGCTTCGGATGCTTAACAAAAATATGCAAACGGCTCTTAGCATACGATATATCCTGGTTAGAGATTTAAAATCAATCTTTGGTAAGAAAACACCACTGATAGCGTCCTTGCATTATGTGCATATCCAAAAGCCCACCTATACATATAGGCCTGCTCGAAGTACATTCCGTAAGACATGAAATACAATACTTTTTTTTAAAAACTGCACGAAACCTAGCTAAAAAAAGTAAAGTATGACATTTATTTTGCGAAATTAAATTAAATTACTGTATATTTCCTACGTGCTTTACGTTAGCTTCGTCAATATAGTCCATACACAATGATGCTATACATCCGCTTTCTGTCGGGTCTACCGTCATCATGTACACCTACCACGAGCTTGCAAGCAGGGAATTTGGCAAATTGCCTATTACTATTGCTCCCTGACATCTTTACAGCTAGGCTCATATTTCCCCCTGGGTAATCATTGGCAGAATTATGCAGATTGAGCTTAATGTCTAAAGGATGATGCTAACGCAAGAAGATGGAATAGTTGAGCATGCGTCTGATGACGTGATTCAATGGACACGGCATTTCTCTTTTAAAAAAGCAACCACTTCTGATCGACTTTCCCGAAAGCTTCCGTTAAAATCCAATCTTAATGGGTTGCTTCAGGACGAATTCGTCTGACTTCAGATAATTGCGGTCAATCAGTGATTTTACCACAGGATATAAATTTAATTTCCATTTTAGAAACAAAGGACATCTACTAGATTGCGAAGACATGTTCGGAGATGTTTTGAAGTTGCCATGGTTACTTCGCACGGAAAGTTGCCTCGGTCATCCCTAATGGCTTAAGTTTGTCAACGAATACTTTTTAAAAATCTTCACTGCTGCCCTTTCATGCATTTGAAAAAGACCTGAGCCTGACTGTAATATTATATGTCCTGATACGAGCATTTCACGATGGAAAGAGCTATTATTTTTGCGGATCCATTGTGAATGTCTGAGCGTCACGTTAAATTAGAAACGGACTGCTGTTACATGGGAAAACAATGTAATAATATGTCTATAACATATGTCACGAAACTGTGCCATAGTATGAGTTTTATAACGAAAACTTAATATGAAAATGCATCGGGTCCGAGTCGCTTTAGATCACGATTTTTACCGGACCATGTACATCCTTTTTACAGTTTCGAAAATCGACCTGATTATGCAAAGATTACTTTGTTCTTGCTTTATATAATATAGCAGCCAACCATTCACGGTTGCGATAATACTTTTAATAGAGTCTTTAGAAGGAACCAAATTGTATGAAAAACATTGCATCGGGCTCTTTTTATAGAAAAATGTATTTTATGTATTGTGTGAACATGCCTGCACACCGTGGAATTTTTTAGGAGCCGTTTGCTCATGATAAAAACATTGCACCGGTTTTCCTTCAGGGCAAGATATTTCTCCGACCTCCCCCATACTTTGGTTAAGGAACATTCGGCCTAGATTCGTCAACTGATTTCATATACACCTCCTTAAATCCAATTGTAACATTATCCATCGTAAGCTTGACTGCTGAACGGGGTCTACTATCCTATGTCATTTTAGGATGGTATGGAAAGACTCTCTGAAAAATAGAAATAGATTAACAAGATCAGAACTTCCTTCAGGCAGATAAGGTTTCTTGGGTAATCTTCGGAAGAAGATGAGGGCATGTCATCCAATTACTGGACTATCCACCAAATAGACTGTTTCACCGGAGGGCTTTATCAAAAACGAGAAGTGCTGATATTAAACATAATCGTTTAAAATGTGACTCTTCCTGGAGGGGCAATGCCCGCAGAGTCTACCTTGTCTTCGGAGAAACTTGAGGAGACCGATGGGTATCTTGGTCGTCTTGGGTGCACTCTAATTCTGGACTTCTCTATCCGTATCAATCCAATTGCGTGGGCAGCTCGTTCCGATATGATGCACCGATAGTGAAATGAATTCTTAACCGATGTTTATCAGGGCCGAGCGCGTTGGTTCGAATTCGGCCTCTGAATATTGCGTAAGAGATTCTGGTCAATTAAGATTCAGTTTCGGGCAATGTGCATCATGAATTAGAGCATGGCGTTAATTGCATGCCAGAGGTCTGTTAGAGTCGAACTTCTGCCCCTAAACGAAAAAGGTTTCTTTTACAGATTTAGAGCAAACTTGAGAAAAGTCATCTACGTAGGTGTTACACTATTTTTGTTCGTGGTTTCTAGATTTGCAGAGAATATGTCTTGGGTTTAGCGTTATTTATTTGTTATTTTATTTAATGTAATGCTGTTTTTAATATTTTTTTAGTAGTTTGAAAATGTGATCGACTTTTGAAATATATAGCCTAGTATGTGACATTCAACGCTTTTGCAAAAACCACTAATTTAAAAATAATTATTATGAAAAGGTTTAATGCACGTAAAGAATGCGTTTTGAACACAAATTATTTATTTTTTAAAATGTTTTTTCTAAATAAAGAAGCATTTGTAAATCATCAAATGTTGTGCATTCGAACAACAACCAAAAAGTCATAAAACATCTTTTTTTTACAATAATGTGTCTCCAATGTTTTTCAATATTTATTTGATAACCGTTATGCAGCTTCAGATCGTCATGTTTGTCATCTCATTGTATCAAAATCCTTGATGAACACGATTAGGAGGACTTTCGAATATACGAATGCATTCCGAATTCAAATATAATGTAAAAACCGCGTATGGATTATGTGATATTTCATTGTAATAATCGCTCATTTAAAAAAATGACGTACAAGGTAATCACAGTTGCCTTCAGTTGATTTTTCGAAAGTCGTTGTGAACATGTTAATGAATCTAATTATATTATGCTCCTTTTTCTTTCTCTCGTCCAGATTGTATGGTCATCTGTTTGGTTCATACTCATCCCACCCGCGGTCGAGATCACAATGCCCGACGTCAACGTTAACAAGATCGAACTTACGTGCGCGGAAGACGACATCGAGGTCATAGGCACATTGACCTGGGAGATCTGTCTCATCATCGTCTGTTGCATATTCGCTTTCGTCACGCGGAAACTTCCGGAGAACTACAACGAATCTCGTTTCATCACCTTCTGCGTGTTCAGCAGTCTGGTGGTCTTCTCCTCTTTCGCCCCGCCGTTCTTCACGACCAACGAGGCCGTGTATAAGGCCAGTTACTCGGCCTTGGGCCTCATCATCAACGCCACCGTCACGATCATCTGCCTCTTCGTCGTCAAGATCTACGCGCTCTACTTCGTGGACGAGAACGAACTCAATATCTTCACGCAGAGCCGGACTCGCAGCAACACGCGAACCAACTCCATGGCCAACGTCACAAGCGAGGGCTCGGCCCCGCCGGCTAGTCCCACGCGTACGGGCCCGCAGGAGAACAAGGGCTTCGAAAATGACGTGAACAAACAGGAAATTGGGGGGAGTTTAAACCACAGTAGCAATAATAATAACCGTTCTGCGTTGCCCCCCATAAGAAACAGTATGAACCTTGAGCAAAAGGTCAGTAGCGACGTGGAGAACGGCTTCTCGAGAAACTGTAGTAAAAATTCAAGCGGGGGCAGCGGAAGTCTGATGCACAGATTACGCGGGAATTCCACGCGCGTCGGAGATATTGACGCAGCGCACGCGGAACAATCATGCGTGGACACTGATGGCGATAGAGGGCGAGCCAAAGGCGATTTAAACTCAGTAGTAACCACGAGCGAGGTCAAAGGTCAGAACAGGTCATCTGCACACAAGCTGGCGCAGGTTAAAGGCCTCTCCGAAGACAGTACTAGCTCCCAGAGTGACGACCAGCGAGTTTTGCTTAGTGTTAAAAGACACCACAAAGGAGGTGTGTCGTGACAGATGTGTTGACCTATGAACTCTAGAAACACTGCACTAGTTAAATGTTTTTACGGTAGTCTGCATGAGCTTCCTCCTCGTTTGTCCTACATAGCTGCAGTTTGAGAGTGATGTTTTTCATTGATAAAACGATGGAATTCTATCCTATTGATAAATCAAAGTTTGAATGTCATACAGGGGAACTTTACCCGAGATTACTACAATTAGGCCTATCTTCATTCTTGTTTTAGGAACTACGTTTGTTAACCAAGAGATAAATTCTTAAGATTTGTTACCTGTAGTATATCACAAGTTATTCCGACTTCACAACTCACGGTTTATAAGATTTCGCTCAAACATTCAGTTGGTACTTTCCTCTAACGTTTGTGCTTCTATTCATAACTCCTATTAAAACAAAACAAAAACATTACAATGGAACCAGAGACCAACACACAATCATATTTACGCAGAGCTATAAAGGCATTGACAAATCCTCTAACATTAAAGTTACTAGACTCTTAGGCTCTCAACTGATATACGAGCATAACGAGTAGAAGTTCTTTGTTGAATCAGTGCACTTACATACATATATGACTTGGCTAAAGAGATGAAACATATACATATTATTATATACAAGCCACTCTATAGGGATTTGTACTTTAAGGTGACCTTAAAAAGGTTAGAGGCATTGCTCTTTACACAGTTATTGTTCTGAATTGTTTGGTTTGTACACAACATTATAATACGTATTCACTGTAATTATCTACAATGGGTTTAGATCAGTAGGTAATGTAAGTTCGATGAACGATTTATGTACGTGAAGCCCGTGTTACACGAGGCGTTATTTGATTGCGACATTACTTGCCCTAGTCATGCCTAGTCTACGGGCACAGACTATGTAAATAAGAATCAGTACAGAACCTATGGGTTGCACTCAGCATAGTCTAGTAGTCCAGACGGCCCTCTGGTACACATTATTAAGGCGAAAAAAGAATTTGTGGGCGCAAACTAAGTTGTGCCTTCGAAGGAAATCGGCCCATACAAAGTCATGTAAGTCAATGCAATGTTTGCACTGTGTGTTTTGCATTCACTTGTTTGCTTGACGCAACTCTCACATGGTGCGTCAAAGCATTCAAAAACTGCGTCAGTCGCTGCGTCAGTCTTGCGTCAGCACAATGACGCCTCGTGTGCATTTGGGATTATATTAAATTATTCAGTAGATGTAGATTTGAATCTGAAATACTGTAAAAGTGTCTTATGAGTATAGGAGTGTTTGTTTTGGCTCAATTCATGCTATAATGAATGTTTATTTTATTATCACTGGAGCTTTTTTTTAATGATGAATTCCTCAGTTTTATGCTGATCAATGCAATGCGTAGGATCGTTTAGACGAGTTGAGTATATATATATATATATATATTTATATATGTATATATATATATATATATATATAAATAGAACAGACGGTCACAGCTCAACCACATTAGGAACCATTTACCAGCATATGTGAAGCTTTTAGCTCCTTATTGAACAAATTAAGTCAAAGTAGGACCATGCTTGTCTGCAATTCAGAAGAAAAAAATGCATCTTCATTCTTAAAAGCAATAAATTGACTACATAAGAAAGTGGCTGAATTTAAATGAAAATAAAAAGTAAAATGTCTAATAATACGCTTTACACGTTGTAACTTAAGCGTTATTTTTTTGGCGGAAGGATGCGCGTTTTCATTTATAAGAAATTAAAAGTAATGGAATCAATAGTATCTTCAATATAAAACATGGCAAAATGGTGTGATTATACCCGTTACGGCGAAATAAAGTTTAGAAGTAAACTGTAAAAGCACATAATGCCTTTCTCTCATATTTTACAAAGCTAAGCTGAACTAAACCGGATTCAGCCAGTCTAATGATGTCGTTGTGGAAGGTCGTTTGTTTCTTAATCTTATAAGTAAAGATCACCAAAAGACATAATGTGGGTTTATTCATTTATTCTGTATATCAAACGCAATCCAAATAACATCGGTATTGGCCAGTTAATGTGGTCATTTGGGAGACATTATTTGTCACTCCATCTCATAACTAAAGGTCATAAATAGCGAAATGTATGCTTTCATTTATATATATGATATATCTTAAGACTTAAGGCATTCAAAATGAAACAGGTATTAGCCAGTTTAATGTGGTCATTTGGAGGCCGTTTGTTACTCCATTTCATACAGACCATAAAAATCAAAGTGGGTACTCACGAAAAAATCTAAATGTCAGGATTAACTGCACTGGAATTGCCAAAAGCACTAGTCATAATGATTAATAACCTTATAAATCAGGGTAGCATTTGGAATACATTATTATTTATTAGTCAATATTACCGACTTTGCCGCAAGTATGCCCTTATATTAAATCAATTCAGAAAGAAAAACAGAATAAATCGATCATAGGGGGGGGGGGGGGGGAATGCGGTTATTTATTAGGATATCAACCCTGCCAACTTTCAAGTACAAGACAGTGTGCATTTTAGCCAGTTTATACAGCTATACGCACATCAATGCAAGTGAGAAACTTGCATCCACAGATGCCGCTATTTAAAACGAACAACAGTTCTATCGAAAAGTCCATGTATAGAATAAGACATTATTTCACGAGAAGAAAAAAGGTGGGTTGGAAATTTAGATCTAATATCAAAGCTAAAAAACCCAAACACGTATCTGAACGACTAATTACGAAGGTAAGGAAAGAAAATGTAGTTTTGAATTGTGTAAAAATGGACAATCCTGCTAAATATGATTATAGTGTATATATATATTTTTTTCAATTTGAAAATATGCACTTCTACATCCTTTCGTTTCTTTTTGTTTATTTTTGTTTATTCCTTTATTTTCAAGTCTTATCTTTCTCATTCAAATTCCTTGCATTTTTTTCCAATTTGGTTTGTATATTCATTCTTGTAATGCCCTTAATCTCCCTACGTAATACTCTTTCTCGTCTCTTTCGAAGTTGTCACTTTCTGGCATGATTCTCTCTCTAGAGCTCTCTCTCCAGGGGGGGGGGGGGAGGGGGTGTCTCACAAAGATCCTTTCACTTTCTCTTTTCTATTATTTTATCGAAATACTCAATTGTCTTAATCTTTGGTACCAAAAACCTTACAATATATAATGGCCTCATTTATACAATGTCATTTGGTGGAAAATCCTTTTTCGGCTTCTACAAAATGTTCTATGGCAATTTGCCTCTAGAGTCGGCCTAAAGCAGTGCAGCGGCGCAATATGGAGGTGTGTGGGCGTGCGCGCGTGAGGGTGTGCACATGCAAAAGCACAATGTCGTGATCGTGCGCGCTCGCGTTTGTGGTTTTTGCATTGTGTTCGTGTGATCGTCAACGGTTTGTCGAGCGTGTGTATAATTGTGTTTTAAAACTGAAATTGTATTTTTTTTTTAAATAATAGAATGTGATTCTCCCTGTGTGTGAATGGTTGTGTGTCAAAAGAAAAATCAATCCTTGCATGCCGATCCAATTCGCACTAAATTGACATGTGTGAACGTCGCATTTGTTCCTTCTTTGTATCGCGATCCAAATCGCACTGATGGTTACGTGTAAACGGGCCTAGTATGTACACAATTATCACGCAGGCACCTGGAGGAGAATTTGTGGGGAAAGGTGAATTCTAGGTGAAAGGTGAATACGTGGGGTCAACGCGCGCACACGCACTCAAAGTAACACGACTTCGTCTACATTATTATCTTGGTGTATATACTTGCTGCCAGCAGCTAAACATCGTATATGGCTTTTACGGAAATACATGTCATGAGTTATACATATTTGATGACACATTGTAAAGCCTCTGTGTCTTCCTCACACTGTCAATGCACAACATTTTGTATCATTTTGCAAAAGGATCTTATATAACATGAAAATAGTCATTTGAACATATTGAACTAAGAGATGTCAATGTTTTGAATTGAATTTGATCGTATTACATTACATTACATCATGTAGCAAATCAACCGTCTTTACAATTTAGGTTAATGAAATCAAGATTTTGCCTTTTCATTTATTAGAGTATCATTGAATTCAAGCCTTATCTATAATGCTTGGAAAATGGAAGTTTTGACCTTCACTAGAATTTTTGTAGTCACTCAAGTCATTCACCGGGGAAATGCTACCCCCATTGCCTCCCTTGGCAAACCTTTGCACGTAGGCCCATGATTTTCTATCAATGTCTATTATGCTCTTTTTAAGTTAAGCCATACGTAGGCGTAAATTGTATGATACTTCAAATGATTTAGACAATTTAATATAGTTGAAGCGAGTATACTGGTCGATTTTTAATAACATTGTACAGGTAATAATGCAGAGAAGTTTTTACGCACTATCATTAACTGTCATATTTAGATTACATTGTGTGATTTCAAAAATGTGATTTGAAATAGGAAGTAATATTCATTTTCCCAGAATTACCATGTAACATAATCGCATTTTGTAAGATGTTTTCTGTTAGATTGTTTCCTAATCATTTCATTGCATTTTGTAATAATAATTATAATAATAATAATAATCTTTAAGTCCACTCCAAATTTGATTAAACCGAAATGAAAATTCTTTTTGCCCAATTGATCGTGAGCCCGGCAGCCACTGAGCAGCGCCAGATCGACGTTGCTCTATCCTTTATTGTTGAACGCCAAACAAGGTAGCAGCAACTCCTATCTTTTAACGTCTTTTGGTATGACGCGGCCTGGTATCGAATCCACGACCTCCCGGTTGTGAGGCGAACGCTCTACTGACTGAGCCAACACTAACATACACAAACGAAAGCTCTATACATCTCACAGAATTATCCCGATCGTGTATCATACGGAGATATGAACGCATTTTGAAGGAAAATACTGTTATGACAGAATCGGACGTAAAGTAAATATTATTAAGTTTTTCTTTTAATTTCATACAGCGGCAAGAATTTACTGAATCAATGACATATAATAAATCCATAATATTCCTCGTAATATTCCTATATAAGAACAAGCTATTATTATTATTATTACAAATCCCAAAATTCTTTTCCTGCTATAAGTATTGTAGTTTCGTGCATTATGTTGTTTATTTGATCTGATCTGTAAACGTTTATATTTTCTTTCTCTTTCTAAAACTATTTCACTTCATTTCGTTTCATTTTCTCCCTTTCTTTCACGTCTTCTCAATATGACCTAACATCTTTATCTGTCTCTGTCTCTCTCTCTCTCTCTCTCTTTTTCTTATTGTTCTCTCATCGTTTCTTTCTTTCTCATTTTCTATCTCTCCCTGCCTTAATGTTTCCCCTATTCCCTTTTCTTTCCCATTTCCTCTTAATCTTCTTGTTTCTCATTCGTTTTATCTTGCTCTCTTCTCTCTTCTCCTCTTTCTTCTTTGCTCTTATTCAGTATACATCTTTCTCTCCTTCTCCTCCAACTTAAAAAAAAAAACTCACTGTAGGTCTTTTTCTCCTGTCGTCAATATATATCCCTCGCTTCAATTTATTTTCACTTTATCTGTCAAAATCTTTCAGAACTATTTAAACCATGATAACCAGGATTTTAAAGACATGTCCGCTTTGTACTGAATTGTGATTTTTGAAATATATAGTTATCCCTACATCGTGTACTGATAAATGATCACTATTAACAGTACTAAACCGCTACGTACAATGTAAAAACGTGATGGGTAAAACAAAACAAAACACGGCCTGGCATAGTGGTGGTTTGAGGCAATTATAATTTTAGTGCATTGTACCCTACTGAAGGATTTTTTTCAATTCCAAACGATGACATTGACATTGATTTGGATAATCCTCCACCACGGGGATAAACTTAGCCGGTGCCAATGGATAATATTGACCAATTCTTTTCGGGTGCGTGTTTTGGGCTCAGGGATTCTTATAACAATCATAAGAAGCATCTTTGTGAGATTACTCTATATATTTTTGCTGATTCTTTGAGAAAAAAGTTTAGAGGTATACAAATATGATCTGATTTTAAATTTGTATATATTTGCAATTGCGATACCTAAGCCAATATATTACTCGTAAAAATGCAGCTTCAAAATAAGAATCTGCTATATGAATTTCCATCCACATAACAGCACATAATGTATCGATATTTCTTTCATGTAATGAATATGAAAACTGTTATTCATAATAAGATGATATTTTATTGAGGCTGCAAGTATAAGTGTTTTGTGGTGGAGGTAAAAATGACAATTTTATTCCTTTATGGCGATTTTTAGATGTGGATTTCTAGAAATGTTTTAATGAGATGTATATAGTTTGTAACTATATCAGATGTGTAAATAAAATTTCATTCTGATAAAATGTCGAGTTTCCCATTCTCCTTTTTCCTTCTTTCGCTACTATTCAATGGGGCACGTGCCCCTTGCAGCCCCTCCCCTCCGGTTGCTACGCCTCTGTATGAGCAGAGTCAAAAAAGGGAAACACAACAAAGCAATTTACCCGATCGTTGTGTTCACTTTAAAAAAACAAAAACAAATATGGTTTTCCCCTTTCTCCGGAGCTAGCGATGAATGTGGATCGCTTACTATGCACGACCCAGATAATTATCAACCACATAAAAGTCGGTTAGGAGCAATTCTTCATTATTATTGACCTTGCTTTCAATACATGTTCGTCCAATTTCCTCCTTTCGATTGTAGCTGTATTGGTGTCGTTGTTCTGGCATGTTTGCATCTACGTGCCATTTAACGATAGACGTCATTCTTCGTTTTTTGAGGTGGCAGATTCAGATTGGAGGGAGGGGGGGGGGGGGGCACAACCAGCCAATGGCCCCATTTGAAACCCAAATAACATAACTTGTGTACACAACAAAGAAATAGTGCCCCATAATTTCACATATTGTCTACTAATTATATCCCCCTCCCGTTTAGAAAAAAATAGACCCACCCCTTGTTTTGTAATAGAAGGTGTATAATTTCAATTTCAAAGCCAAGCAATGTAAATATAGGTTTGTTCAACGTAGGGGTTTGTTATTTCAGTTCATTTATTCGAATGGTTATTTATTCCCCCCAAAATGGTTATTTCGAGGATATTTTTTGTATAACTTCTGAGGGTGTGTTATCCGAAATGTTTTTTTTTACCCGAAGGGAGGGAGATGTGAGTTGGCCTAGCGACAATGTCACAGAGTCACGTCTGTCGGATATTGACGTCAGAGGTAGGTTCCCAGACGTAGATAATCAATATCTGATTGATACACGTATGTATAAACACCCAAATTACACAGATGAAGATTGTGGCTTCAAAATATCATCCGATTCTTGTTAAAACATGTGTCATAAAATATAATGTGCAGTGAAAGACACCTTAGGCCCAAATCAATTTCCCAATTTAACCATCTGGCACCAGTGCCATTATCTTGCCCGGAGGTGTGCATGTGTGTGTGGGTATTGGGTTTGTACAGACGTCTGAGGACCATCCGAAAGACGTGACTCAGGTTCAAACCTGCTTCCTCGGCTCAATCAGTTTGTAACTTCCACTGTTAGCTGGATTACAGGCGCACGCCACAACGCCCGGAGGGGGGGGGGGGGGGGGGGGGGGGGGGAGATATTTATGATAAATCTTTGACGAATTAAAAATGAAGAAAAAGCTTGCCCCGTTTTGGTCTCAATCTTTGGCAGGGGAACATATTAACTATTTTTTAACACATCCCCCCTCTTATTGTGAACTTGTGGTATGCTAGTTTTTGTTGACCCTCCCATGCCCACCCCCCCCCCCTCTTTAGATCCGCAACCAGTTATAAGGAACATTTGTGTTCACAATGACCTGATAACGAAACCTCGGCATTTCATGAACCTTTGGAATATCCGACATAATACCACGTCATCACCTCTCGAGATAAACCGGGCTAGGGAAGAGATATTATTGCCGTTTGAGGAATCCCATTTGACTCCCCACCCTCTCTCCCCTCTCTCTCTCTATCTTTCTCTTCATCTCTCTCTCTCTCTCTCTCTCTCTCTCTCTCTCTCTCTCTATCTTTCTCTCCATCTCTCTCCTGCACTCTCTCTCTATCTCCCACTCTCTTCTACTCTCTATTTTTCTCGCTCTCTATCTCTCTCTCTCTCTCTCTCTCTCACTCTCATACACTCTCTCACTCTTTGCGCAATCCCCAAATTTCCGTCCGAGGTCCAGACTTAGAGGAATGGCTAGGTCTACTTTCAACGTTGAGGGTGTGTTATTTTATCAGCTAATTGGGTGCGCTAAACGAAAATGGTATAGAGGCTGGACTAATCGGAGGAGGGAGGAGGGGGCACGCCTCGTAACTTCTATTATTTTAAAGATTTTCTCACCCATGCATGGTAAATAAATGTCACTGAAAATTGTGTGAATTGTCTCGAAACAACATCGAACACGATAGTCTATTAATGTTGCTTTTATACTTTACTATCTTGCTCTCACTTCTCGCTTCTTTCTTCACTGACGTGGGTCCTCCGGCATTGAAACATGTTTTGAATTTTCTTCTCCCTATATTAATGATCGATGAAACACATGTGTGTTTGGACATGTAATTGCCATTGGGAGAAAGTAATATATCAAATGTACACAAATAGCTCAAGATCAAACCCGAGATGTCAAGTTATCACAGCCATCTCACACTCGTTTACGGAACGCCAATAAGAACGGTTTCCGAACATTTCTCGGGTTCCTCAAACAGTGATTCAATACACAAAGGCCCCTGGCATGAGTCCAGTAGAAGCGGTAATTGGGCTCCACTCTTTGGATGACACCAGTATGCATTTGATTTGTCAATGTAAACGAACCATGATCGATAGGCGACGACTTGTCGGCGATAAATTGTAAAATTGCACGGTCATTACGAAAACCTCGAAAAGCATTAGGCCATTTCCGCGGCATCATCACCAACGGCGTATCTAGATTAATTAACACACAGGGGCGGAACCTTTCAGCCGAAAACTGGGTAGGAAGGGCGAAATGCAGTGGTAGATCGAAGGGAGGGGGGGGGGGGGGAGTAAAGAAGCCCGTGTCCCTTCCTTTTGAAACCCAATATATACTCTCAATACACGACCCAAAAATGCCACCTTGATCATCATGTATTTTCTTTTTAATTCCCCCCCCCCCCCACCACCTCACTTTGCTGTCCCACTCGTTCATTATCAATCATTATCTAGAAATCAAGACGAGGTCGCGTGATTGAATGCATGCGCACGTTTTCTATATGATGTATATCACATGAGATACACATTAATCTTATCGTCCATATGTCGTCTGTAACGCGTGTTTGGAGGGTTCGGCATGGCTAGCTTTTGTATTGTTTGTAGCTTATTGTGCCTCTCCCGTCGATCAAAGTGATCACATTTGTGTTTGATTAAGGCCACGGGTGTATCTAGGAAGTTCCAAAAGGAGGGGTACCCCAACATTAATTTTTAATTGATTTTTTCCCCCAAGAACAAACGATTTCAGAATATCCTGCCAGTAGTCTACGGGAAGGAGCAGGGCAGCACATTATCTACGAAAGCGAAAAAGAGCGGGGGTCTCACATTTTCTGATGGCGTTTCCGAGGATCTGTATTATGATTTTAACTGCCGGCCTCTTCTTCTTATACATGATCTCATACTATCAAATCATTGCTGTCTTTTCCCGTCTATATTCATGATTTGTAATTATCTTATGGAGAGAGAGAGAGAGAGAGAGAGAGAGAGGGGGGGGGGGGGGGGTGAAAGGGAGATAAAAGAAGATGATAAGACCCCATCTCACCCCTCCACCCCTAGTCGGCGGCATTGTGAATCCTTTTTATCATTCAAGGAGTAAGATTCGTGCCCCCAAAGCCTCCCAATGGGGCTAGTGTCCGATGTAAGGCTCGAAACATGCAACATCATTGATCCCCTAAGTAGGATATTCAGCCAATTAATAACAACAGATGTTAACATGACAATACACTATTAATTAACTTGATATAACGACCTAACAATAACAATAGTGGAATTAATGAAAACAAAATGATTTTCATTAAAGAGCAACATCCACATTGGTTCTAAAAAAACTTTAAAAAACGAAACTATAATTTTGTATGAATCTCTCCCTCTCTCTGATACCCCACCCCTCTGTCTCTTTCTCTTCCCTTCCTCAGTCTTTCCTCTATCCCTGTTATTTTCCTCCTCCTCTACTCCCTTCTCTCTCTCTCTCTCCCTTTCTCTTTCACACTCCCCCTCTCTCTTTCTCATTCTGCCCCCTCTCTTTCCCTCTCCCTGATCTCTTTCCTCCTCTCTCTCCCATTTTTACCTCCACTTCATTTCTCCCTCTCTCTCTCTCTCTCTCTCTCTCTCTCTCCTCTTCCTGGCCCCCTCACCTATAACGCCTTTTCCATCTACACATTTCCTCTTTATCTCTTCAATATCTACATGCAATCAATTCACACTCGGATATTACTCTTCCCCCTCTCTCTCTCTCTCTCTTTTCCAATGAAACATGCATATTTTAGAGTCGTTGCCAAAAACTTCTCTCTTTATATCACAAGTGGAAAAAAACATTACCAAGTGGTAGTATGATTCAAATTAATATATTTATTTATTTATAGCTGTATATTCAGACAGCTCTGTGACTTACAAACTTTCTACAATGAATAATATATGCTGGCCCAAGCTATCATTCCACATATTGTGTGCTGTAACTGCTGTTTAATATTTTGTAGTAGTTCTGCATTTAGTACTGATCAGTCACTTTTATAATCTTCCTACAATGAATAATAATTGACATTTATTGACTCCATAAAAATTGTCTGTTTAGGGCCAGAAGGGTGCTTACTCCTATAGAGTGGTGAAGTGCGACATCATCAAAAGTCTATATTTAGAATTTCTAAATTTGTCTTCATTTTCCGAAAGGGCATCAAAAATAATGTCTGAATGTCGAAAACCAATTGAATATGTTAAGTATTGGTTGAGATACGACCATCTGAATAGATATATGTCCTATGGGAACTCAGTGTTTAAGTGCTGTGGTTCATAACTTTAGGAACCAGAGCACTATAACACTGAGTTCCCATAGGACATATATCTATTCAGAAAGTGATATTGGTTTTCGACATTTGGACATTATTTTGATGCTCTTTTGGAAAATGAAGAAAAATTTGAGAAATCAAAAAAATAGATATCATGATGTCACAGCTTCGGTACTCTATACTTTCAAACAAACGTAATGCCCTTCTGGCTCTCAAAAGCTGAATCATCTTTCCATGGTAGATTCGCTGGTTGAGATGATTTAATTTCCCAAACGAATAGTCTGTTTGGAGCCAGAAGGGTGTTAATGCATACACTTAAAAAAACAGAATTACTGCCCCTTGAGCTGTGAACAGACAACGTGGGTTGTAGATATGCAACCAGGGGACCATAATGCTTTTCTTCCCATCTGAGAGGCTTGATAACGAGAAACACGCATACTTAGAGTCATGGGCACAAACTGAAGGAGACCCAAGTTCGAAAACAAGTCGATGCGCTAGTGCCCTTTTAATGAGGCATTAATCCTCATTACCAAGTCCCTTGGAGAGGACCTAAAAGCCCTCGGTCCTCTGGTTGCTTACTAACAAGCATTTATATTTTCTCAGCAGTCAGGTAAAATAACAACCACACTCTAACTCTAAAAGAATAAAATGCAGGGGTGATAGTGAGCACTAAAAAAAAAAAAAAAAACTGTTTTATTCCCCCTCAACCACGGCCCCCTTGAGTAAAAAAAAAGAAGAAGAGGATTAAGGGGGGAAAAATGGCATCTAACAACATCCCCCCCCCCCCCCTTGAGTAAGAAAAATTGGGAAATAATAGGAAAAAATAGGGAAGAATAGAGAAAATAATGAAAAAATCTGGAGAGAAAAAAAAAATCAGGTAAATATTTTTACAATCGGGTTTTTATCAGGCCTGAAAATGCCATTCTTAAAGAGCACTAGCTTACAGCTTGGATCTCAAAGTTATGAAACCCCTGCTCCACCACTAAGCCATCATGCCTCATACATAGATGTGCTCTTCAGCCATTGAAGGAGTTCTAGAACTTGACAGACCTAAGACTTAAACCTCTCTGCACTGATGAGAGTCGACCATACACAAACTGCTAGTTCATGGACCTGGTGCCTTTGGGATTGCCATAGTTCTTTCTATTGGACTTGAGACCTTAGTTGATTATTATGGTGACTGGATGAGAAACATGCTCGGTTGAGTTCTGCCGTGACTTACACTCCTTCTGCACTGACGAGTGCTTGCCATATATCAATACATGTACAAATTTCTAGTCTTCAGACTGTACCTTTGGAGCTGCCATGCTTCCTTCTCCTGTATTTGGGACTTGTCTTGAAGATAGCGGTGGCTGGCTGGGAAAGAAACCTGCAAGCCTAGGTTTCTGATGTGACGTTGTGCACTTAACTCTTATCCTGCCATAATGAATACAGCCCAGTGCCACAGGGCTAATCCCCCTGTGCCAAGTTTATTTTGAGATAATCTGATGGTGCGATCAAAAGCGCGGGCAAAGCACTCAGCTCAGTACAAGGAGCATGAACAATAACTGCAACTACGAATGCGAGCATGCATGCATAAAGCAGCTAAGCTGTGGCTCGCTCGCGTGAATTAAGCAGCCAATCGATAGCGCGCTCGCGTGTACAAAGCACTATAACGGTAGCGTTCATGCGGCCTTATGGCAGGATATGAGTTAAAGAGTCCTCAGTCAGAACCCTTTCTGCACCTAAAACATCCTGAACGTATACACAGAACAAGTCCTGGACTTGGTACCAAGACTAAGCTAAGTGATAGTTCTTCTAACTTGACTGGAGTGACTGGAGACCTTTGCTGCTGATGAAGGTGGGTGGTTGACAAACTTGCTAGGGTAGGCTTCAGCTGTGACTTAAAGCCTTTCCGCACTTACCAGTGCTGACCATACCCAAACTACCAGTAATCAGATTTGGTGCCTTTAGAGCTGTCATAGTCATCGCTACTGGACTTGAGACCTTTGTTGATGGTCAAGGTCACTCAATGAGAAACCTGCTAGAGTGGTGTGGTATAGAGGCCTTCCCTTCAACACCTGAGAGTTTGACTCTGTGATCTGCATAGTACAAAAAAAGAACACAAGATATAAATGATATAACAAAGTCAGCGTTTAAGATAATGAATGAAAATGAGTTTTTTTGCATTTCATACTTAAATCATAAAGATATCTTGCTGACAAAATTAGTGTTAACACATGTGTAGAATCTAGGAATCCCCCTTGATTAGGGATTCTGTACTGACACTACACAAACTCAATCGTTCTAATTTTTCTGTTTGCACAGCTAAATAATTACTAATCATTTGTTGCCTTAAAGAGAAGGTTGAGTTCGGGGAAGAGGTGAAAAATAATTTGTGAGCGTTATCATTCTTATTATGCAAGTGTGGAAGGTTGAGTTCTGGGAAGAGGTGAAAAATAATTTGTGAGCGTTATCATTCTTATTATGCAAGTGTGGAAGAACATCAGATAAGACATGTTCCCGGAAAAGCATGGATCTTCAAATGCCTTCATATTCTAAATATGTCATGTAACATCGTAAAACTCTGGGGTACGATTTTTACGCCACATGTTCGTGTAGCCCCATATACATCTTTCTGTGTACAGTGTTTGTAACTTTACCAAGACTTGGCCAAATTTCTTATCCATTTGATGATTCCAGAACCTTGCATTGCACACAAATTCTTATATACTAGATGATCAACCTTTTCTGGTCAATTCAACACCGTTTCTTTCACAATGCAATCACATGACCAGAACTCAACTTCATCTTTAACTCTTTGGTTGCTTTCTTTGTACCTTTGTTCAGTCCCTCATTTGCCACACGTGCAATTTAGCACAGAACTAATCAATCCCAAGATTGCTTTGAGCAACACAATGGCTTTGTGAAATCACCCTAATTTTAGTACTGATTAGCTCCATGACAACCTTTTGACCACCGGTATAGATTAATCTGGCACGGGAATAAGTTAAATAGTCTTGAAACCTTTTTGTATATCTATTCCATGATATATACAATTTGATAAATTTTCAAATAGCGCCTAAGGCCGTACAATGGTAGCTGCGACCATGACAATCTCAGAATTTGTAGTTGTGATATATAATTTCCAAACGGGAATAGCTTATCGGTCAATTTTAGTCAAGAAACATTGTTTTATACCTTAATTAATATCTTGGACTAGAGAGGGAGCTATACAACATAAAGAGTTTATTATTTACAATTTCATAACTTTAGACTCGATTTCAACCGCGACAACGATCACTGAATATTGTAGGATCGCATATGCTTCCAATATGTTCATTTGAACCAAATTCATGATCCCATACCAAAACTTTGTATTACCTGTAAAGATGTTTGTTTACTTTTTGCAGATCTAAAAACCCAAAGTCCCATGAATCCAGTGTTAAATTGACGAGGTCTATTATAAGGAACCTCCCAACAAATGAAAGAATGGAAACTGGCTTTCAACAAATGAATTTTTAATTTTTAATTCTGAATATTTATTTTTTACACCGAAAAAAAAAACTGGTTCATAATTTAAAATTAATTAGACCGTCATATCTGTTTGTTTGAGAATTGCTCTCTTTGCAGTAAAATGAAAACAGCACTAGATTTTCATTTCTTACAAAGAACTATCAGAACATATGATTGTAAAATTTCACACACAGTATCTGAAGGATATATTTTATACACTTGCCAAGCTTCATGGAGTTTGCACAAGTCTGTAAAAGGGGGCTTACTGCATTTAAAATGTACCTCTTACATCAGTAATTACTTCATAAAGCATACCTCTACAGCAATGTAGTCTCCTGGTTTCATAGACTGGTTGTTGTTGCCATGGTGATGTCCATTGCATGCTGGGATGGGTGTATTGGGGATGACCACCCTTGTGTTGGCATCGTTGCGACCAACCAAGTCCTTCTCCGATCTCTTGCTCGTCTGTAAATAACGGCAAAAATTGGTAACATTGAGTTCTCATGGTGATATAAGTTTCTTCTTAAGAATCCAATGAGATTTTCGCTAAATATCCAAACACTGTGAATACGTCACACCTGTCAAATTGAATTTATAGTGGTGTAATTGAATCATAAAATCAATTAGTTTCCATAGAGAATGTTCATCAGTCTCAACAAATTCCTGATTTTAGTAAGATTTTGTTCAGGTTTCCTGAACTCTCCCGATGATTTCATAAGATTTACGTCGGTAGCATCAGATTCTGCAGCTTATATCTCATTGGATATCGAACTTTCCAGTTCTCGACGCATTGTATTTTATATGAAACCCAGAAGTGCCTTTGCCACATATACCCATGGCCAGAGATGCCGAATACCATAGAAGCGATAGCGAGAATTTAAACACGGCGACGTGACAACTTACCCCTTCCAAGAGCACTAGCTGCTTAGCTCCTACATGTGTAGCGTTGATCTCAGCCATGCCGTCACGGCAGACTGTTATCATTTCTCTCAGTCTCCTTTGCTTCACCTCCTCCGGTACATCGTCCTGCATCTTATGGTAGGCATGTGTTTTCTGAAGAGATCAGAAAGAAGGTTGGTTTTTCAGAAAGGTCAAATACTCACGATGTAAGCTTTTACTGTACATAGCTTTACTGCCTTGAGGTAGAAAGTTTTGATAGAAAGATATAATGTAAATGAATAATGACTTTTTTTTGGAGATTTTGTTTCAATTTTGTTTTTCTTGTTTCTTTTTGCTCTCTCAAACACTTCAGACAGAATGTTGGGGTCTGTCTGTATTTGACCCCTGTCAATTGTCAAGCAATACTCTGACCGGTTTATTGACGTTTGGTCTACAACCAGTTCGTCAGTAAATTTTTAATAATTGGTCTATTCCCATATGGTCTACACCCAGCCTGTCTTTTATCCTTAAATTATAAATAATAATAATCAAATAATTATTAGACCTTATGGAAAGTAGACTAATTGGAGATTAGCCTATATAGAAATTAGACCAAATGACTATTAGCCTAAATGGTCATTAGACCAAATGATAAGTAGACGAAATAATTATTATCTACCATGTGGATAGGAGTCGGGCTGTGTGTAGACCAAACGGCAATTCACCTACTCTTACCTGTCGCATGCTGTACGCAAACAAGAAAGCATAGTTGTACTTCACAAGACGAAGCAGTGACATCGTATCTTCATGATCCTCCTCCGTTTCCCCGCAGAACCCCGCAATGAAATCACTGCTCAGAGCCACGCCGGGTATAGCGGTTTGCACATGGTCGACCAGCTCTAGATAGGCCTCTCTGCTGTACCTACAATTATGAGATTCACAAAAGCAGTAATAAAGTTGTATTGAAGATCTAAAAATGGTGCTTCATTTTGAAGGAAACTTTGTTAAATGTATAGACCAGTTCTGGTCATGCGATTGCCTTGTAAAATAAACAATGTGGAATCAATCAGAAAAGGTTGATCATCTAGCATAAATATTGGTTTGTACTGCAAGGTTCTGGATAGTGCACTAGTTCTGGAGTCATCAAAGTCCTAATAAATTAATTGGCCCAGTCTTACCTTGCTTTTCCTTATCTTTCTATAATCATTACTCAGCCAGTTTATATTTTCTACCAAATTGTTAGGCAAATGACATTTATTTGAAAACGTTGAACATTCAGTGTAAGTTTTGTTTGATTCTGTGAGAATTTTTAAATTTTTTTTTACCAGAACTCAAGTTTATCTTTAAGTTTAGAAAATGGTGATGCATTTGGAAGGAAACTATGTTAAGGTCTTTCTAGAGTGTATTTATCATATAATAAATAGAGATATTAATAACAACAGTAGGTTTTGTTATAGCCTCATGTCTGTTGAACTTGACACTCCTGGTGCTTCACAATTAATACCTCCGCTTGAGCATGGTTGCCACTATGGCATTATGGTACATGTACCCATTTACCTTAAATGGATAAAGTGTGGCAAATCTAGGTTAATGTCTTGCCAAAGGAAATTAGTGCTGTGACAGGGATTCAACCCAGTTCCTTGTGGTTCACCGTCCGGAGATTTATTCACTGGACCACAGCACCTCTCACTAGAAGACACTATGAACATGACGGACAAAGAGAGCGGACAAAATATACAGTTCCTCAGGTAGACAAAGGAACATCCCTTCACTGCTATTATGTAAAAATGTGTAGAACAGGTTTCACATGCATATTCACCTGTGCTACACATTTTTACATAATAGCAGTGAAGGGATGTTCCTTTGTCTACCTGAGGAACTGTATATTTGGTCCGCTTTCTTTGTCCGTCATGTTCATAGTGAGACTCACCCTTCAGCATGCAAAGGGGCAATTTTCTCGCAGGTGTATAGCACCCATAAGGGTCCTATGTTTCTTGAGAATGGGACAAATTAGAGCTTACACGTAACAGTATCCAACAAATGCCCTAATTCAGTCAGTCCACCTTTCATTCTTGAGTTACAAAATTATTCAGTCGTTTACTGTATGTATGGACGTTTTTTCAATAAATATAACATGCCTGTCTACCTTCTTTAAAGGTACTACGTCCCATCTGCAGGCCAAAAAAATGAAAAGGTTAAATTCCAAAGGCATTTGAAGACAATGCTAATTTAGAACTTCCCTAAACAAAGAGGGGCTTGAAAATGTCTTTAAGTGGGAAAATATCGCTATTAGTTGTCAAATGGACTTAGGAGCTATAGAGCCAGTAAGTAGTAGTCTGATTTTTCAGACCATTGTACGGAATGGTTGTATGTTTTATGCTGCGCAAAGATTCAATCAGTTTAATTTGCAATTGCAAGAAGTGGGCTAGTGATCTAGACAAATACTCATGTACCCTTTACAGCTCATTTTATGTATGTTATTACCAAAGATGAAAAATGTCAGTCAGTCACTCAATAGTGTCTGACAGTGAAGTCTAGCAAGTAAACGGGTTTCCTTGCATAATTTGAATATTAGGACACTGCTAAAGTTTAAATTTCACAGAAAGGACATACATGACATATTCATAATTCCTGCAAAATTCTACAGAATTTGATGTTGGCTGCAAAAGGGACATAGTATCTTTAAAGTGCAGTTGTAGGTGTAAAATCTAGAGACTTACCCTCTCCGCATTAGCTGTAAAACCTTGGTACTTCCACTCTGTGCAGGGAGGTGAAGTTGGTTGCAGATATTTGGGAAATCCCTGATCGCATAGAGAACCTGTACAAGAAAACACACCAGAAAAAATGATATTCACTTGATGACTTCAATTCTGTGTTCACACCTTTTTAGGCACATCAGCATGCATCTCAAGGCAGATGTAGCACTTGGAGACTTTGATGGTAAGCGTTTTATAAGTAACATTTTTATTTAATATTATTATTATTATGTAGCCGTAATTGGGCTGTTTCTGTTTGTCTATCTCCATGTCTCTCTCTCTCTCTACTCACTTTTTCTCTTTCTCTCTCTCTCTGCTCACACACACTCTCTCTCTCTCTGCTCTCTTTCTCTCTCTCTCTCTCTCTCTCTCTCTCTCTCTCCGCTCACCTTCTCTGGCTCTCCTCAATGTGGTTCTACCTCTGTATGATAACATGATTTTCAACAATTATGCAATTACATTTGGTTATACAGTGCGTCCCAGAAAAACGAAACCGAGAATTATTGATGTTTTATTATAACTTAATCACATTTATAACTGATAAAATGACACATATTTGGAAAGCTTAGATCCTCCTCTTACACTCGATGTAATTCATATAATGCATACTTCACACGCATGAGTGATTAAAATAAATTTGAAGAGAGGAAACCAAAAAGTCATTTGGCGGGCGGTATCTAAATTTCAAGGAGAAAAATCACATTTCTAGAAAGTTGAGTTTCTGCCCTTTTATATGACACCTCAATCAGGAAAAATGAGCAAGGAATGACAAAGTTCTGTTTGTTTAAATTAGTGCTTGCATTTCCATAATTTTATCAAACGAATTCGTTTTCACTGGCTGCCTGCCGTAGCAACAAACAGAGTTGACAAACGACTTAACTCTGTTTCGTTGACAATCAGCCGTAGACGAAAGACCTCATGCATGGCTGATTGTCAACGAAACGGAGTTAAGCCTGTAAGTGTGACTAAGTTATGATAAAACATTAATAATTCTCGGTTTCGTTTTTTCTGGGACGCACTGTACAGTAGGCTTGCGGATGCACCATGTGAGAAAACATGTAACATTTGGTTAGTAAGCTACCTAAATGTACTCGACGTCAACTCACCTCATCCGGGAAATCTTTAGGATGCGGAGAGGTGAACCTTATCCTCATCTCAGGGTCAACCAGGGCGACCCTCTCCAGGAGGTCCGCAAACCGTCTTCCTCCCTTCTTGGGCTTGTAAATGGACTTGAACCCTCGAGCCAACCTCGTCGGTTCACTGACTGCACTGCCCTCGTTGGCAGAGTTGCTGTAATAGCTCTCCTCGGAGACATCTCGATAACTGTTGACGTTTTGACCTAGCACAGTTACTTCTTTCACTCCCTGAGGCGAAAATATGGTGGAGATTTTAATATAGAATGACTACTGAATTAAAGCTAATGGGTAGTATTCCGATAGCGCATACTAAGTTAAGCCTGCAAGGCTTAAATTAATCCAAGGCCACCAAGGCCATGGCCTTGGATGCCCCTTTGATTAGCCTCAATGTCCCTCTCATTGGCCTTGGAGATTTCTTGTGCCCTTTCCAATTCTTCCTATTTGTGCTGTAATATAGGAATGTGCCCTACAGAAAAGTGGCCTTGCCCTAAAAATATTGAAATTTAAGGCCTGAGCCTGTCTTAACTTAGTCCACACTTTTATGGAGCGCCTGTTGCCAATTCATTTACCTTGTACAGATTATTTTAATCCGTCAATGAAAAGTGTCCAAAAATTTAATTTTGCAATGAAATGGGAAGAAAAACATAATATGATTATGGACTAAATTTCAATAAAGTCGTTGGTAGATTACCTTTGTCATGAATATTGAAGGTGACACCTAGCATTCCATAAAAGTGTGAACTAAAGTTCTTGTTTAGTCCGGACTTAGTCTCGGCTTGACTTATGAGAATGCCAGCCAAATGATGCTAGGGCCTTCTAACCACTTTATAGCAAAAACTGGCTCACAGTCTTTCTGAATTGTGAGTCGTGGAGGATACAAGTTATGTGAATCGGATCACAAAAATGTAAACAAACAAATAATGCACACTTCCTGGAAATCCCTCACTTTACACATGGTTGGGGTGACTAGCATGATTTTCTTATCTCTCTTAGCTCACTACTTGGCTATAATACCTTTTAATTAAAAACTGTTTGATAAATGTCATGTATAAGAGTACTGGAGTACGATTAATAATTGAAATTGCATTTTCTTCTACTATCCAACCCTCCAGTTTACATATATCTTTCACAAAACAACTTCTTTCACCCTCTAGGAGTGAGGATAGATAGATGTATAATCTATGTCGATCTGGCGCTGGTCAGTGGCCGCCAAGCTCACAATCAATTGGGCAAAAAGAATTTCCATTTTTGGTTTAACTTAATACAATTTGGAGTGGACCTTAAAATATTATTATTATTATTATTATAACTGGAGCAAGCACGGGGTCGTTTTGTTGAATGCTTACCTGATCTGAAAGGGCTCGTATCTCATCCACAATGGAATCAATGGGACGGCTCCTCTCTCTGCCACGTGTGAACGGCACAATGCAATAGCTGCACATGTTGTCACAGCCCCTCATTATTGACCTGCAAGTGGAATGAACAAAATGAATAATTACTTAAAGGTAAAGACCAGTTTTGGAAACGCCCCTCTCTCAAAAAATGAAATGGAAGCTCTTATTACCAATCATGTGAAAGATTATGTTTTGACTAATATGTGATCATACAAATATTGCGTACTAATTGATATATGTGGTAAATTATTATATCTATTTGGACCTGATAGATATAACGCACGTGTCGCGCACATGTGCGTAGTCCCATAAACATCTTTCTGTGTACAGTGCTTGTAACTTTACCAAGACTGGGTCAAATTTCTGATCATTTTGATGATTCCAGAACCTTGCAATACACACCATTAGTTATATGCTAGATGATCAACCTTTTCTGATCGATTCAACAACGTTTCTTTCACAATGCGATCGCATGACCATAACTGGTCTTTATATTTAACAAGAGCTATGACAACTGCAAACATGAAGGTGGATGTTACAGCATTCTAGGAAGAGCCAGGTTCTATTGTCTTTCTTGTAAATGTGTGATCTCAAAGTTAACCCAGGCACATCATTTTTAATCACAGGGCAATCACTTTAGTACTTTTAATAATATTCGGTTCTTGCATAGCGCATAAACCGTGTGAGTCAAAAAAAAGTTTACACCTAGAAAATTGCTAATTATTTTAAATATCATCTATAAACAATAAATTATTATAGATCTTATAAAAGAGTGTTTTATCCCAAATCTTTTGGCATCATTTTTGTGTGGTATGGGTTCATGCTTGGATGAACAGGAGGCATTGTTTGCGAGAGTGCAAAAATCGACTTGCGCCAAAGTGATGCCTACAGCATGTATTATGTTGGGATTAGCCGAGTGAGAGAATGAATAGAATGTATCAAATGAAATGCATTGCATATGCTTTTTGCAGCAGCAACGTCACACACGCACACACACACGCGTGCACAAATGTTCGTTAATATTTGATATTCGATTTTTGATATGTGTGGCATGATTAATTTTGTTAGGGATGTTATTTGGATCTGCAAAAAACAATTTAATACCAAAATCCCAATTGTTTTATTTAAAAATCAGATAAGCAACTTTGGCGCAAGTCGATTTTTGCACTCTCGCAAACAATGCCTCCTGTTCATCCAAGCGTGAACACATACCACACAAAAATGATACCAAAAGATTTTAGATAAAACACTCTTTCGTAAGATGTATAATAATTTACTGTTCATAGATGCTTTTTAAAATAATTAGCAAATTTCTAGGTGTAAATTTTTTTTGACTCACACTGTATACCACATTATAACGTCTCTATGCGCTTCCAAAGAGCTTTGGAAATTATTAACCAGGCTTTAGCACGGCTGCCATTACGGCGCTCTAGCATTTCAAGGAATTAATTCCTGCCAGGTACCCATTTACCTCACCTGGGTCGAGTGTGGTAAACGTAGATTAATGTCTTGCCAATACATACAGTCAAACCTGCCTTAGTGGCCCCCTCACCACACGTATCCTTTGTTAACTGCAGACGCAACTATTGCAGTCTTGCTTTATACATGCAAGCAGAACTACGCCCGGTCAATGTTTTACGCTATACTGCCCAGCAGTCATAAGCGTATTTCATGCCTATAGTTATGACCAATGAGAGGCCTAGAATCTTTATGCGATATATAAAAGAAACTGTTATCACTCACACAAAAGCGGACTTGGAATCCTTATCCAGCCTCACAGGTACGACGTCGGCATAGGTCTCGTCCATGGACAGCATGACGTTGATGGCGGTCTGACCCGACCCTGCCACGTTCAAGAGTCTGGGGAGGTCTCGGTAGGCGTCCGGTCCGGCCACGATGTCCACCGTCTTGCTCTGTTCTAGAAGCTTCTTCTTCAGTCTCTCTGCCATACATCCTAGATCATTGAACAGGATGAGGGTGGTTCCGTGAAATGAGTCCCACATGACTTTTATCCATTTATTTCATCAAAAAATCAATTATAATCCCTTGAAATAACCAGTGACAAGCGATTATATATGGCCGTTTTAATTTTTTTTTATCATGTGACAAATTAAATTACATACATTTTACCAAGTGAAAAATATAGTTCTGTTCATGATAGCTCTTTTAAGATTCGGTGATGTCGAAGTTTGATTTTCGCACAGTAATATTCAAATATTTTATTGTTGTATTACCAGAGGTTTTTTTTAGTTTAGAGTTCAGAGGTATTTTGGAGCTTTCCAGAGCCAAAGTGCTCACCGCTCCCATGTATAAATGTCTGATATACCATACCAGGGGGGTGTTTCACAAAGATCCTAAGTCGAACTTAACTCTAAGTTGGACTTAACAACTATGAAAAGCCGTTCCATCTTTGAAAATATTTTTAAAAGTTGTTTTAAAAGGCATAAAATGTTGATTCCGACCATTCATATTTTCTATTATCAAGGAGATTTCATGTTCTTCATGTGGAATTTATAAAAAGTCTAAAATACTTGAATTTTTGCTTATAAGTAAATTTCATTTTAAGGCTACAAATGGCGCTCCATAATTTTTAAGTCTAACTTAGAGATAAGTTCAACTTAGGATCTTTGTGAAACATCCCCAAGGTCATGTGTTTGACATTAAGAGAATAATGGTAGCCCTTTTTGTTATCTTTGCAAGAAGGCCTAATTACCCAGTAATCCAATCTTGAGGGGGACTTCTCCTTTCCTTCTGTTGTTCTTGAGGGACTGGAAATACTTTAGTCGGTTCCAAATCTTCTGCTCGGCGTTCTCACGGATGGCACAGGTAACGGCAAGAATCACATCAGCCTAAAACAGTGATAAAAATACAGAAATTATACACAAGATATCATCATACTGTCATTCATCAACTGCGATGGCCATCTATCACTAGGACTTACATGATGACTAATCTTATAGCTATGAAATCTACATCAGTAATAGAGGGATATGTATGTTTCAAGTTTAAACCATGTGTTCTCTCAAAATCTTTGATTTGTACATTTGTTGACTTTTTTGATTTGCTTTGTTTGTTTGTTGTCTTTTAACTAAAAAGCAAACCTATATTGTGGCTTTTGTTTCTCTCAACTCTGGCTGTGCTGTTTTAAAAGACTGTCAATACTACTGGGCCAGAAGGGATTAGACCACCCAGCCAGGTCACTGACAGGTGGCTATCTCATCAACTCAGCTCTCAACTAACATAAGAAAAAGAGGATCATGGGGGACCAACAGGCACTGATTGGGGAAGTTTTCTATATAGAGGGAGCAAGTAGCTACAAGTAGGACAGTGGGGCTTTAAACTTTAAAACCTAATACCATATTGGTAATAGTTGAACAGTTTGTTTATGTCATTTGTTACAAATGATATACACACATTGTACTATGATCCTAATACCATATTGATGATAATTATAGCAGCGTATACTTACGTGTGATATATCCTCTACTTTCTGGAATCCACTCTTCTCCAGTATGGCCCATGCTATCTCAGTGTCACTCACATTCATCTGGCATCCATATGTCTCAAAGTACACTGAAGAAATCAAGAACAAAAAATAAAACAGAACAACATGAGGTAAAAATGGTGTAATGTAGATCCTTTTTGAACAGGAGATTAACATGTATCATATACTGCTGAGACATTTCACAAAATAACATTTAAGAATATGTTTTTTTTCTGATTTTTTTTTTGTTGGATTTTTTTATTTTTTATTTTTTTATTTTTTTTGGGGGGGAGGGCTAATTTTAACAACTAAAATACTGGCTTACTTTAGAGTATAAAAAGCTTCTGTTGCTATCTGTATTATTAGACACATTGAACCCTTGACCTCATGACTTTTCAAACTGTTTCCATTAAGGTAAACAAACAAAAAATTGTTGATATTGTGTTATGTCCGATACTAGTTAGTGCTACGCAGATTCAATTTTCTCATCAACTCTCATCAAGCAAAATACTGTGAAATTTGCTACTTATGTCACTGATAAAAGTGATAGTCCAATGTGTCTGATTCACCTAATAGAATATGTTTCCAGTCTCTGACTGTTTAACTATCTGAGATTATTTGCTTTCATTTTTTAAATTATCTAATCATCTACTAACAACAAAACTGATTGATTACTGGGTTGACACAACTGTTAAAGGTAAATACCACTAGACCAGTTCTGGAATTGACATTGCATTGTGAAATCGATCAGAAAAGGTTGCTCATCTAGCATGTACTGCAAGGTTCTAGAATCATCAAAATCGTAAGAAATTTGCCCCAGTCTTAGTAAAGTTACAAGCACTGTAAACAGAAAAATATGGGAGTTGGGACTATGCGACACATGCGCGATATCTATCCGGTCCGGACAGATATATAATTTACCAAATAGCCTATCATTACTTCTACTTCTACTTATACGACGATACTCAGCAGGATCCATAAGTCAGGATGTAGTGCTGAGGAATAAACACCTATTTCTTGGTCTAGATGCTGGGTGGACGCGCTCCCTTGAAGCCCTCCAGTGAAGTAGCGTCAAGGGTGATCTTCGAAAGTGCATTCCACGCAGTTACTGTCAGAGGGGAAAATGAGTTCCGGTAGAGTTGGGTGCGGGATGTGATAGCCAGCAACTTCTTTGAGTGATACTGTCGTGTGTAACGGTGTGTTGCTGGCAATCATGGGTGCTGTGTAATGGTGTGCATTGATGGCTACTGTGTTGTTTTGGATCTTGTACATGAGGTGGAGGCTTGCAGCATTTCTTCTTCTCTCCAGGCTCTCCCATTTCAGATGTTGAATCATGGCCGAGACACTGGCCATACAACAATATCTCTGGAGGGTGAATCTTGCTGCTCGCCTTTGTACTGCCTCGATTTGGGATATATGTTTGTTTGTGTGAGGGTTCCAGACCGAGCAACAGTATTCCAGATGAGGTCTAACAAGGTAGAAGTAGGCTTGTTGGCGGATCTTTTGTGAGGTTTTGCAGAGATTTCTGCTGACTTAGCATCCGATTGGCTCAGGATGTGATTATCAATCAGTAGATCTAAAGTTAGGTTTCCCGGCAAACTTTGTATCATCATGTATTAGTCAAAACATATTCTTTCACATGATTGGTAATAAAGAGCTTCCATTTCATGTTTTTGAAATTGGGGCGCGGCGTTTCCAATAGATCTATCTACTGGGGCGGTATTCTGAACATTGTTGTAAGTATTGTGTTATCTTTTGTTGTATCTTCCAGAGATAACACAGCGCTAATATTGTTGTAAGTTGGTATTCTGAACATTGTTTTATCCCTGTGTTATCTCTTGAAGGATGGACCCTACCAATCAAAATCTATTTTATATAAGCATGATAAGTAGGTCAACCAATAGGAGTACTTTATGCTACATCTTCGCGCATACTAATCTTTGGCGTAATTAGTTATTTGAGCGCTTATTATATATGCGCGTCCTCATATGCGCTGAGCATGTGGCACATGGATCCTAAAGACAAGTCACGCTTTCAAGAGACATCACAGAGATGAGAGCATTAAAATCGTCATATCCTAGCATGTAATTTCTTAGAAATTTCTCATCTTTGATGTCTCCAGTCAACACACAACCTTCTTCTAACTTGTCTATTGGCACTAAGTTGGCTCTGGGCAAGAAAGAATGCCGCTATTATATCACCACGAAAGATACAACAACCCCCTACCTGTTGTAAGTATTGTTGTAAATACCATGCAAGATAAGATAAGATAAAAGATACAACAACTTTCAGAATACCAACTATCTCGACATATTATCTCTCGTGCGCATATGCAAATGAGGATTAAACGCCACTTTATTAATAATACGCACAATTACAAGCGCACCAAATTATGAGCGCAGGCGCGGCCAATGAGATGAGAGAAAAGATACAACAAAAGATAACACAAAAGTTACAACAATGTTCAGAATACCAACTTTATCTTATCTTCAAAGATACAACAATATTAGAGATAACACAGGGTTCAGAATACCGCCCCTGGTCTTTAGACTTTACCTTTAACAACAAAAAATAATAAAAATCATAATTACCTCTCCTGGATCGACCTTCTTCAATATCCTCTGACAAATACGGTATGCAGTCATCTCTGACTGGAACTTCAACTTCAGTATTTTGGCGGTGACTATTGGCAATGAAATCACGAAATGTCGGTCCGTCACTACTAGATACCTGCAGCTTACGTTTGGTCATCTGTCTAGGACTTGGTGTTGGAGCAGCAGAAGAATCTTCAGTCACTTGACAATCCCTACCGCTGGGGTTGAGGGGCAAACCCGATCCAGAACCTGTACTTACTCCCCGCGTGGTTTCATATCTTGCAAAAGAATGCTGCAGTGGTGAACGTTGAGCTCGGTTATGTCTCAAAATATTAAAAAATGTATACGGATTTGTGATATTTTGTCTGCCATCACACAGGCGGCATGATTTAGATCGTTGAATGATAATATTATACAGTCCACTCGACGATCTCCACGCCATGTTTGCCTGTACGCTCAATGATTCGCTGTTTGCGCATGCGTGAAAAGGGGGAATCACCGGCACTTTGATGAGTTGCTCAAACACGATCACAGTCCCGGCCCCTGTGCAGAAGTTATGCATTGAACTTACTGTACAAAGTAACGTTGACAATTAATCGCTTCTTTAAGTTCTGCCTCAAAAAAAAAAGAAAGATTACTAAAGGTCTAACTTATCAATCATTTACAGCATAAAAGGTGAATTGTCTCAGGTATATTGACTTGCGCAAAGATATAAAAGTGAGAGAATGAATTGAATGAATGGCAAATGATGCATTGCATTTGCTTTTTTCAAAAACAAAGCCACACACAGACACACTACACACGCGCGCGCACAAATATTCTTTGATATTTGATTTTCGTCATATGATATGTGTGGCATGATTAATTTTGATAGGGATGTTATTTGGATCTGCAAAGACGGAATTAGTACCCAAATCCCAATTTTTTTTATTCCACAAACATCACTATTACTTTGGCCTAAGTCGATTTTTGCACTCTCTAAAAACAATGTCTCCTGTTCTTCCAAGCGTGATAACATACCACACACAAATGATACCACTGATTATGGATAAAACACTCTTTCATAACATATATCATAATTTACTGTTCATAGATGATTTTTAAAACAATTAGCAATTTTCTAGGTGTAAATTTTTGTTTATAGTCACACTGTAGTGCCTAGCAAATTTGAATTCTTAGATTTTTTTAACTTCGTAAATAATTGATAGAGGCACTTGATCTTTAGTGACTAGCGCAGGAGCACCCGTCTTTACGAAAAGCTCCCAGGGGCGGATCAAGCTTTTTGCCAAGAGGGGGTGGGGGGGGGGGCGGCTGACCCAATGCGATTCTTTGAGGGGCTTTTTTGAACCCCCGTATAATTGATGTTTTCTTCGCATCTACTAGCATGGTCCACGACCCGCATAGCGGCGAGGCTATTTTGAAAGGCCCGTAAGGCCTACAAACAAAAAATGTTGTATTGCCCTTTAGGTGCCAAAACACGAGTCGGTCGGTCAGATTTTTTTTTTCTCCCTCTTTCTTTGGGCTGATATTTCTCAGTTTTGAATGCTTTAATACATTTTTTTTTCTATTTTTTTCTTCTTCAAAAGCCGACCGTTGATATCAATTTTTTGGGGTCGGTCGCAAAGGGCAATACAATATTTTTGTGTGTAGGCCTAAGTAACGTTTTCTTGGCATCTTTAGTAACATGCGGATCATCGTCCACGAGCCGCAAAGCGGCAAGCCGATTTTTATGTTGTTGCTATTTTGAACCCCCATACGTGATGTTTTCCTGGCACCTACTAACATCTATTATAGTGTGGGTCTGGACACATGATGGCGTTTTTCTATGCACATCAAATTTTCACTTGGCAACGGTTGGGGGGGGGGGGTTAAACCCCCTACCCCCCCCCCCCCGTAGATCCCCCCCCCCCTGCTCTTGTATGGTGAGGTGAGTTACATGATTCATATATAATATGGATTTTGACGACATTGAAGCTGATAACTGATGATAGGCCTACATGTAATTGGTTTATGATGATGATGATAATAATGATACTGTTGCTGCTGCTGATGCTGATGGAGATAATGATGATGCTGATGACGATGTTGATTATGATGATGATGATGATGATGATGGTGGTGGTGGTGTTGGTAATTATCCTGTATAATGGTGATACCGATGTCGATGGTGATGGGCAATACATGATAGAGATGGTGATGATGATGAAAATAGCAATGGAAACTAAGATTCGTTTGTGGATACAATGAAATAAGATTTATTTTTCAAGTTTTTCAACATAAATAATATTTAGGGGATGATAATGATTGTAGTATAAGCCCATATTATTATGCAGGGAATATGTTCTAGCTTTATTGAAGATGATTGCAATTATCTATATTTTGTGAATACCAAATGAAAGAAAATGAATTGAAAAAAGAACAATAATTATCTATTTTAAAAAATGGACATTAGAACGGCAGCCATAGATCAATTGTAATTAACAATATTCTGATATTGAGTTTATCATACATTATGACTGACATGAATATCATGGGCACCTTCCATGCGATTCATGGGTGTCGATCTGTAACTGATACCTATTCATCAGGGGGGGGGGGGGGATGATCTATTCATTCATCCCCCCCTGATGAATAGGTATTACGTAAGGATCGACACCCATGATGCGATTCTTCAAATTGGCATTTCCACAAGTATGTGGACTTTTTCTTCTGGATGTCTATGTAATACTTACAAATATATATCACCAGAACCAAAAATACTTGAGTCAAATGTGTAAGCTTGGTATAGTTTTATATTTCATTGCATATTTTCTGTCTCATTTGCTTTTGATAGGTGTGGTATCGTTTTGGTTTTAAACAACATTCATTGTATTCAAACTCAACGGTATATCCCTAGAACCTACAACATTTTAGTCAAAATGTGTATTAGCTTGTTAAAGTATTATATTTAAGTTGTAGTAGTATATTTTCCGTCTCATTTCCTCTGTAGTTTTGGTATTGTTTTTGTTTTGGAAAATATTCTTTTTGCATTCGAAAATCCAAACTCAAAGATATCCAACACAATCAAGAATATTCGAGTCAAATATGTAAGCTTATAGTATTTATTGTTATAATATATTTTTTAATCTCATTTTCTTTTTAGGTTTGGTAGTGATCGCAATATATTCATTGCATTTAAACTCAAACAATGACATCATAAAGTGGGTGGCGTGCGTTGGAACAAAATAGTGTGCACTTACAGTACTGACCGTCTGTTTCATACATTTCAACTAATTTCACTGTAGGCCCTAGAAACCACGAAAGGAAAGGGGTCACATCATAAGTTAACAAATTGTACGGCATTAACTACTTTTTGTTCTAAACAAATTAAAGGTAATGCACAATTTTCAAACATTTTGAAAATTGGATTGATAGTAATTCTTTACAATTTTGATATATTTGGATGCGCCTGTGGATGTATTATAAGCACTAGAAAATTTAGCACCTAAAACACTTCTGCTTTCGAGAAATTTAATAATAAAAAAATTACCGGTGCTCCCGGTAAATTTCAAATATTTCAAATAGCGCCTAAGGCCATTCCATGGTAGCTGCGACCATGACAATCTCAGAATATTGTAGGATCGCATATGCCTCCAATATGTTCATTTGAACCAAATTCATGACCCCATACAAAAACTTTGTATTACCTTTAAATCAAAGATATTATGAAAGAACGTTAATACAGGAGAGGGGGCGAATTGGGTCTAAATTTTTAGCATTACCAAAGTCCAAGATACAAGAACCCTCTTTGGGGTTAATGGCTCCATATACACTAATGAAGTATAGAGTTCAAAAAGGATTTGTTTTGTAGTAGAAATCTCAGGACCAGTGACATTACAACTATTCTACAGTTTACAACTAGTCTACATTTTGAATTTAAAAAGATGTGAATAGGAAAGTGTTATAGTCTACTATCAGTTTATTGAGTTCAGACTTTATTATGTAGACTACCAAATCAGTGTAAATTTATATCAAGATGATTAAAGTGCCAAAATCAACTTGAAAACAACTGCTCAATTTCCTCCAGAATTGCATTTGTAACACTGAAAGCAAAATGATATTCCATAGATTAATTTTCTATTCTTTTTTTCAATTTTGTTTAAGCTTTCATAATCATTCTCTGCCTCAATTGTATTCTTTTCAGGAGTCCATACAGGGTTTTATACACATTTTAAACCATTTTGAGAGTATTTCAAAGACCATGTTAAGTTTTATGAAATGTTTTATAATTTTTACCGTGAAGACATACATAACTTTTTCTCTTACCATTGAATTATTTGGCTGCAATCTCATCTTTTGATTAATGGTGGCAGCAGTGGGATATATAAACATGCATATATATTCAAGGAGAGATTGTTATGACACAGTATACAAGCACACTCATTCATAGTTCAAATTCATGAAGCACCCTATATAGTTCCTTCCCATATTAGATAGATAATTTTGTATGTGGGACTGTACCATTATTACAGTCATTGCATGGTCTCGTAGTTTTCATTTTTTGATGATTTTTGTTTCTGTTTTTGTTTTAATGAAATAATGGAATAAATACTTAGGTCATGTGGGACATATTACATGGAAACAGCCACAATTGGATTGGTACTTAATAAATAACTTTTATTTGAATTCATCTCCAAGGTGTCAGGCCTCCAGAGGAAGACCACTTCCCAGTATATAACTCTATCTATACCAATGTAGTGGCCCAGATGGCCATGCGTCACCCATACACGCAGCCTCACTTCTGGGCCAGGAGGTGCTGGACGCCTGGTCCCAGATCGCTGACAACATGAACATCCTCTATGGTGAGGAGATCGATTATCGTCCAGAGTTTGAAGGCTATGGAAGAGGTCTGAAAGTTTGGGTTGGCTCTTTGGTAGGAGGGAGGGGGAGCCGTGTTATCCATGAACCGTTGTGAAAGGAACGGGTGCATTGCCAGACCATTTTGAATAGGGAGGATTGTCAAACCTAATGTGGACACAAGCTTGCTGAATATTTCACCGATGCCTCAAAAAATATACAATAAGCTCCTTACATCAAAGCTGAAGGACTTTTGTAAGATAATTGTTGGGCGACCATTTTCTCAATTATTTCAAAGATCTGTCGTCTCCTAATTCTCAGGGAAAAATGTATGCCCTTTTTTCTTCTTGTCAGATTGAAATTTTGATGGGAAAAATTGTTTGTTGTGATTTTCACCTACTGACCTTTTTCACTGATAGAGCACATTAGAATCGATTTTATGGAAAAATGTAACGTCTGAAAAATACGGAACAGTTAAATCGAAATAGACCTTTACACATCCACACCCGCCCACACACACAAACACACGCACACATACCCGCACATTTACACACAGATATGGTGAGGTGTGGGAGTGATACCCATAGGCATCTGAACCCCAGACTTGAGTAAAACTTAATGAAACAGTTGTGTAATAAAATTAAATGATCTCAATAATATGGAAAAATCCATGAGTACTTGAAAATAAATCAACATAATATAATTCTTAGTTCAGTAGGAATTTTATTAAACTGTAACTCTAAAACACAATAACAATGTGGTGGTGGTGGTTATTTTACCTGACTGCTAAGAAAGCATAATTGCTTGTAATTAAGCAACCAGACGGCCGACGGCTTTAGGTCCTCTCCGAGAGACCTGGTAATGAGGATTAATGCCTTACCAAAGGGCACTAGCGCATCGACTTGGTTTCGAACCCGGGTCACCGGATCACGAGACCACTGCTCTACCGACTAAGCTATCGCGCCTCCTCAATCACAAAATATAGCCATGTTTATTGAAATAATTCAAACTACGAATAATTGGGAACCTACACATTTATATGAAAAGCCAAAGGAGATAAATGTAAGGCTTATTACACTATTTACATTTATTTAATGGGGCTATACAGTATAAGGTATAACCGCCTTAAACATTGGCATGCAAACATTCTTCTCAATTCATATTACAATAAATGAATAAGAATGAAATGATAAATCATGTTTAAATTCAGCTATAATGAATTCAACCATGTATAGTTACTCATGTTTCCAGCAAAATAGACTTACGTGTAAAGTAACGACGTACGTCATTCTCCATAATATTATCAATGCATACAAAATAACCAGTTTCAGTAAACAATATTTGGCGTCTTAACAATATACCACTCACACTGAACGTAATAATTGATATTTATAGATCAGGTCTGAAATGAATCAATACAACTACTTATACTAATACCGCCACAGCATCAACACCATCAACAAGACAATAACTACACCAACAACAAGTATTATTAATAGTACTACTACTACTACTTCTACTACCGGAAACTATACTACTACCGTTACTAGTTATACATTTTACTTCTTCGCATAATGCGGAAATGTCTCAGTGCACGCTTACCATATTTACAAAGATTGCAGAAAGCATTCCGAAAGTTAAGCTTAATGCTTCGTGAATTACACTAAATAATGTTCTTTTATCGACTTTAATAGTGTACAATCACGAGTTGAACTTGTAGAAAATCATCTGCTTGGATTGGATAAATAATACTACTAATAATAATAAGATATTTGTATACCGCAATTTGCAAATTGCCTCTAAGCGGTTTAGAAGAAAATAACTGATAAGTAAAGTAAATATAAATTGCATTACAAATTACATCAATTTAAATTACCATTAAAACTTTGCAAATGAAAATAATACATGTACATAATTACAAATCACTTACAACCAAAATACAAATAGTTCATAAATAAATAGTATCCTACGGTAATCTACACAAAATAAAAAATAAAAGGCAAAAGGTCAAAAGTGCTATTCAGGAACAAGACTTAAAGAGATGTGTTTTTAGCATTGTTTTAAATGATATTCATATACAAACACACTCCTTTGTGTTGGCACCGATCATTTGGCTACATTATTTACAAATTATATACAGACAAAATTAACAACTCATATAATTATATAGCAAACAAAATAGTTTCCCTTTCCAAATTAAGATTTAAGAAATACAAACAAACCTTTTAAGTACCACATGCAAGAGTTCATATACAAGTTATATTAGATAACACAAGAATACAGCGTTATATTTGTGAATGAAATGTGGTCTTCATTTGTCCTCTTTACAAGGGCCATGAAGGATACATGACTAGATACATTTACTCAATAGTCTGTTTGAGGATACATTTGAGAAAGATTTACCGTATTAAAACTCTTGTTTGTATGAAATCACATCAGAACTGGTATTGAAATTATCGCCAGCTTGCACATCTCAAATACATATAAATATTGACTTGTATACGAATTTCGGAAGGAGAACACTATTTTTGCTTCGATTTGGTTTTTTCTTTCTTTTGCTCGTTCATTTGTTCTTTGTAAACATTCGTTTTGTTGTTTGATTATTCAATTTATTTCCGGTACATTCTTTATTATATACATGTATTTGATTTTAAGTCAGCCAATTACTGCCATTTCATATGCTGTGTGTTTTTAAATGTAAAATATGTTTGTATATACATCCAAAGTTTTTATTTAAAACAGGCCTTCTGGCTCTGAAAAGACCACACTATTTTGTACATAGAGGGTAATAAAACAAACCATAAAAGACGATTGATTCTAATGGCACAGACATCATTTATACAATACTCATTGCACAAGAGGCAGTGTTTACACTGTATTAATACATGCCATAACAGAGTGAGGTTATTCAGTTAGGACTACAACGCCCTTAATTTGAAGAAAGGTTTGTACTGTTCGATTTGCACTCCATTTGTGTAACGATACTCTCGCACGGTGCGTTAATGTCTAAGCCAGTCGCTGACGCAGTCATACGCTAGGTGACGTCCGCCTCGTGTGCACTGAGCTCCATTGCAATTTTATTATTTAGATCAATTTATATAGCACAGCCACTATATAAGTAAACTCTACTGCGCCAACCACACAAATAATTCTCAACGATAACATATTATCCATTCCAAAAGTAGCAATCAAAGTATATCTTAGGAAGACGCTAGAGTATTTAGGGACTTTTAAATTTGCGTGGACTGATACGTGTGACGTCCATTTAAGGCAGTGCATTAAAAGGACGTCGATCGTAGCAATCCACGTTGTCGTTGTGCAAATCTAAAAGTCCCTATTTACAGCTAAGTAACACGATACGCAACAATGTTGCAGTTATTAGGAATAAAGGTGTACTGGTATTTTCAAAAGTCACGTGACTATAGTATCGCGTGAATAAGACTTTTGTGCCAATATGTGAAAATGGAAGACCCAATTTCGTACACAACAAATGTGGTGAATAAAACACTGCCAGTTTAAATTTGCCAAGAAAAATGACTGTAATCTTTTCTAATAATTACAACTTCACCACCGTACTTTTAGGATAGTTTCAATTTTGATATTTCACAACATTTCGGCCCTTTTACAAGTTTTAACATTTGCACCGTGCAAATCCCTGTAACTCTCTGTAAAGTATATTAATTGAATGAACCACTTAATACAATATGAGTAACATTTCGAAGGGAATTTAAAATCACAATTTCTTCAATGAAAGAAAAAGAGCCACAAAACGGATGTAAGGAATAATTATTCATGTATTATTAAATGAATATGAGCGCGATTTATTGGGTGAGTAACTCGATTGCATGACGATTTATATTTCTTAGTCCGGATTTAAATTAAACGTTGAGCAATTATTCGATACGTCTATGGTGGCGTTTTCATGTACTTTTCACTTCATCCGATATTTCTTCTTTTCAAAGAATGATCGTCTGAGCCGTCTGATTCATCAGGTAGAGTACGGTGCCATCTACCTGATTAAAAACTGTTTCATGACGTGAGAGAAGAGAGGGAGAGAGAGAGAGAGAGAGAGATAAGGTAAAATGTGTGCATTCAAATAGAAGTAGCAGTACATCAAAACCGGAGGACAAAGAAGAGAGAGCTTGAATATCATACATCGTTACGTCTAACAGAACTACTTGCACTATTCCGTTATCTGAATATATAACTTAGAAAACGTCTTAATACCGAAAAGCGTGAGTAATGTAAATTATAGACTTACATGTTATGTCTGAAATAGAAAAAATACCTTAATCGTATCTCTTCGATAATAAATCCTTTATCTTCCAATGGGCACATTGGAACATTCATAGTTACACATTTCCAAAGGAATGTTATTTTCAATAACGCGCCTTTTGTCAACCCTTTCTTACATTTTGCACATATCGATTTCTGTTTGATCATGATTGGTATATAATAGCATTTTGTTAATGTGAAACAATTCTTCTCTCCCTCCCCCCCCCCCCCCCGACACGGGAATGAACTACATGTTTGTGAGATATTCAAGATATTTATTTTTCTTTCTATTTTTAGATAACTAAACACATGCATCGGGGGAGGGGGGGGGGGGGGGGTGGAGTGGTGTAAGAGGCACTATTGTTTTCTCCCCAATTCGTCAGGTAATTTTTAGAAGCGAATCAGCCAGCCAGTAAATAAGCGTGGGGGAGGGGGAGGGGGGTTGGGGTAAGAGGCACTATTTTTTGTTGTTGTGTGTGGCAAATTCGTAAGATTTTGAATACAAAATCGTTGTTCCTGGTGGTTCCTCTTCTTGTCTAATAAAACATGGAGGGACATTTGATATGATCCCCCCCCCCCCGTCTCCCCGGATTGACGCCCTTGCATGCAATCATACATAAATATCATGCAGCCATTAAGGGCGATGCAAGTCTTGACTTACCCACGTGGTTTGCCATGCTCCACCTCCACTTCTATGACGTGATCTTCATTGCACACAATTGTGACATCATTCATGCTCAAATCTGTTCCGCATCTCATGAATCTACCAGTATCAAGGTAAATGGAATACAGTTTTGTCAATGTTAAATAATTAGGGATGGGGGCATGTTATCGGAGCTAACAATGTTTGGAATATAGATTATGTAATTTATTTTTAATCATTTAGACCTCTCGATTGGTTCATCATTAGCACTTAGGGCTATTCAATTAAGTCTTGTTATTAGTGAAATCAATTCAAATAAAACATTTGTATATCATTTAGCAGTAAGTAGCTTGTTTTAATTTTTTACTATCAATGTCAACCTTTAATCTTCCTCGACTACGTTAGCTGTACCAGAGTAATGATTAGTTGTAGCCATGTAGATTTCTATAATAAAGATGATAAGATAAGTAATTTCACATTATGCTTGTCATGGTACATGTACATATTACAATTTTTAATTTCCAGTTATGCACTATTCTGATAAAGAGAAAGCGAGAGAGAGAGAGAGAGAGAGAGAGAGCCAGACACAGACTAGCCCCCCCCCCCCACCACCCTCCCCTGGGCTGCCAAGTGAAATGTGATGGAAAATGCCATCATGTGTCCCGACCCACACAATATTAGATGCCAGGAAAACATCACTTATGGGGGGTTAAAAAAAAGCGAAAAAAAAATCGCCTCGCCGCTATGCGGCTCGTACGTGAATGATGCAGAGCTCCGCATCATCATTGGGTCAACCCCCCTGCCCCTTAGCAAAAAACTAGATCCGCCGCTTGTATTCATAAGGACCCGTATTTATAAGGACCGCTATTCATGACGTGTGACTTCCTATATGTGAAGGATCGCTATTCATAAAACGGAAAGGAGGTCACTATTTATAAAGGCATAAGGAACGTTATTCGTAAAGACCGCTATTCATAACGTGAGATGAGGCTCGCTATTCCTCATTCACATTGAGGGTCATTACTCATAAGGACCGCTATTAATATTACGAAATCGGGGCTGCTATTCATAAACATGATGATGGGACGCTATTCATAATTTATATTGGGGGCCACTACTCATAAGGACCACTATTCATAAAACGAAATGAGGGTCGCTATTCATGACACGAATAATACTTCTCGTATTATGAATAACGACCCTCTACTCGTATTATGAATAGCGACCCTCTTCTTCGATTATGAATAGCGGTTCTCATAACTAATGACCCTTATCAATAATTACCCTTTTCTCCAATTATGAATAGCAGTCCTAATGAAAAGCGGTCCTTATGAATATTGGTCCTTATGTATAGCGAGCGGACCCTCCCCGCCCCCCCCCCCATACAGACAAAGACAGAGAGGGGAGGGGAGTGAGATGGAGACAGAGAGAGAAAAAAATAATTAAAGAAACATATGCAATACCCCAAACATTGAGAGATAGAGAAAGATAAGGAGAGAGAGAGAGAGAGAGCGAGAGAGATGTGAGGTAAAGAGATAAAAGGAACATACTCAATTAATTCAATGCAAAGGAACATTTTTTTTCCATTCTTCTTAATAAAAAAATACTCAAATATAGTCACTTGGAGAAATATATTATACAGAGGAAAAGGATGGGGTAGAGGAAGAGAAAGATAGAGAGATGAAAATATATAGGGAAAATATGTCAAATACTCGTTTTAATAAATGACAAGATGTCTTACCTGATGGTCTTCAGATGGTTCAGGTTGTGAGGCGATCTGAAAGCTTGTAAGATTAGTTCCATCTTACTATTGCCAATGTCAAGATCGCTGAATGTCACCTTGACAAGCTGAGAGGAGATATTCAGAAGGGCATTAGGTAGTGCAGTGAGCTCCTCATGGAAACCAGCCGGTCGAAGTCCATACTCATGTGTTTGAATGGTGAGTTCTGTTGCTCCTGGTAGTTGGATCCTCTGGATGACGTCATAGTTGATTGGGTTACATACCTGTATAGTGACCCTCTTCACATTGTCAAACATCGAACCACAATCATGCCACCCTTCTAGTATGTTATCATCCACTGTCAGCTCAGTCAAGGTGGGGCATGTGTTACGACTCTGGTCGTGATCCTGTACGTAACAAAATGAAATTAAAGTGCAGTAATAAATGTAGTTGGTTCGATTGTTGGTAGATATATAATTGCGTTCTTAAGTTTCATGAAAAAAGTGACAAAAACATGAAAATTTATTTTGCTAGCCTCATGACTATTGTAGATTATAAACAATGATTAAAACAAGACATGCGTCGAGCAAATGCGAGAAGGCTTATGCAAATGCAAGTATAAGTTACATGGTAAAATCATACATAGTAAAGGTTATAAGGAATCCATTTTTTTTCACACAATACATGTATATAAATGTATATCATTCATTATTTTCCAATATAAATATGTTAGAGGCAAGTACTGTTTATAGATTCAATGGAACGAGGACCAGTCTAATTTAGCCATAAGTTATATAAGATAAACACCTACTAAATAATTTCAAATCAGTCTAATCAGGTATTCCGTACTTCGTATATGCAATAATCAAATACAATGTATAAAACTGGCATAAATGTATTAGAGTCTGAAATAGTATTAATGAAAATGATTTTTAAAAATATGATTTTATATCACATTTAAACATTTAAACCTTTATCGATGTAGTGTAGTGTATTGTTATGTGAATTAATGATATTACTTGAATTGTGATGTAGAGTGGGCAGTTTAGGAATGTCCGATGTAAACCTTTACTGCAGAATTATTAAACATATACTTCATATCAAACGTGTCTACAGCCAATATACCCCCATAAGATTGAGCGTTGGAAGTAATGTTTCGTCTTTATAACAGACTCTTATTCTCATGTGTTATAAAAATGCATAAGCCTACTGGGAGGAAGCCGGGCGAAGTGACCGTGTCCGCCATTCAATTAAAATAAAGGCGAAACACGTTGTATGCATGGGTATTACACCTTCTTGTTCTTTGCCATCATGGTCATGTCGAATATTTGATGCATGTTGCGTCGCCAAAGGGGGGGGGGGGGGGAATGGGGGTGTTGAGGAGGGGGGGGGGGGGTGCGACACCCCCCCTCCCCCTACCTGTCAGGATATTGTCGGTAAAATTGCGCTGCCGTCGGGAAAAAAAGAGAAAAGGGGGAGGGAAAAAAAAGAGAGGGAAAGGGAAAGAAAAGAAAAAAGAAAAGGAAAAGAGAAGAGAGAAAGGAAAAGAAAGAAAAGAAAGGAAAGAAAGGAAAAGAAAGGAAAGAAAAGAGAAGAAAGAAAGAGAAAAAAAAAGAGAGCGAGTAGAGCAAAGAAAGAAAAAGAAAGAAAAGGGAAAAAAGAAGAAAAAGAAGAGTAAAAGGGAAACAAAAGAAAAGGGGGTGAAAGAGAGGAGAGAGAGGAGAGGTAAGAGCATGAGAGAGGAGGAGTGGGAGTAAAAGAGAGAAGGGGGTTGTTGGATGGAGTCGTCTCGTCGCGGGAGCAAGAATCAAAGACACGGGTAAATATGTTGCTATGTCGGGTCAGCTGTGTCAGTATTCTTGCTCGATCCTCGTGTACTATATCAATGAAGAAGTTTGAAGTCGGTGAGATGTATATTGTCGGTCGGCCGACAAGTTTTTTTTTCCCTACGAACTGTGACTTTTTTTATCCACTGTGACGATTTCGAGAGTGACTACAACTACAATACTTGTAATTTCTCGAAGTTTCACTTTCCTATAATATCAGCTAAAGAAATCAGAGGTTTAAAATTTTCGGGAAAACTAAATTCAAACAAGGTTTAAGAGTCAACAACGGTACGACGAATCGTCTTCCTTTCTCTATATTGTGATGAAACGCCCAAAAAAAATCGGAAGGGGAAAACTTTATTAAGACGAGTCGAGAACGGTACAACGAATCGGCTTCTTTCTCTAATATTTTAAGGAAACGTCAAAGCTTCCGCGCTTCGCGCTAAAGGGAGGAACTGAATTCAGACGACTAGGGCTTATTAAGAGTCAAAAACGGTACAACGAATCGTCTTCTTCCTCTAATAGTTTAATAAAACGTCAAAACTTCCGCGCTTCGCGCGGGAGGGGTAAGCTTTATTCAGACAAGGATTAAGAGTCGAGCACGGTTCAACGAATCGTCTACTTTCCCTAATAATTTAACGAAAGGTCAATACCTCCGGGGACAACTGAATTCAGATCAGAATTAAGAGTCGAAAACATTACACCAAATAGGGCTTATTAAGAGTCGAAAACGGTACAAACGAATTGTCTTCTATCTCTAATAATTTAATGAAACGTCAAAGCTTCGGCGCTTCGCGCGAGAGGGGGAAACTGAATTCAGATGAATAGGGAGTAATCAGAGTCGAAAACGGTACGACGAAACGTCTTCCTTTCTCTATATTGTGATGAAACGCCAAAAATTCCGCGCTTTACGCGAAGGGAGAAAACTTCATTTAGACGAGTCGAGAACGGTACAACGAATCGTCTCCTTTCTCTAATAATTTAATGAAACGTTAAATTTTCGCGCGGAGGGGGAAGCTTCATTCAGACAAGGATTAAGAGTCGAGCACGGTTTAACGAATCGTCTACTTTCTCTAATAATTTAATGAAACGTCGAAGCTTCCGCGCTTCGCGCGAGAGGGGGAAACTGAATTCAGATGAATAGGGAGTAATCAGAGTCGAAAACGGTACGACGAAACGTCTTCCTTTCTCTATATTGTGATGAAACGCCGAAAACACCGCGCTTCGCGCTAAGGGAGAAAACTTCATTTAGACGAGTCGAGAACGGTACAACGAATCGTCTTTTTTCTCTAATAATTTAATGAAACGTCAAAATTTTTGCGCTTCGCGCGGAAGGGGGAAACTTCATTCAGACAAGGATTAAGAGTCGAGCACGGTTCAACGAATCGTCTACTTTCTCTAATAATTTAATGAAACGCAAAAACTTACGCGCTTCGCGCGGGTGGGGGAGAAACTGAATTCAGACATGGATTAACAGTAGAGAACGGTACAACAAATCGTCTTCTTTCCTAATAATTTTAGAGGCCTATCACCCACACCCCCTAATGAGCGCTCTTTAAGTGATTCGCTTGATCACTACCGCCCTCCCTAAAATAAGATCCTAGCTCCGCGCCTGCATTAAACTATATCAGCTATAATGCTGACTAAGTTGACGAAATAATTTGTATATTTATGTCGTCGAGGAAAATGACCATTTGCGCATATATGCAAGTACTATAGATAGTCCATAGGAAAAAAAAAATTAGCCTTCGGCCCCGGGTTTATAGGGTTAAATTTGTAGATATTGGACATTATTTTGTCGGTAATTGGGGGCTAGTTTTGTCGGTTATCGCTGGCCTCTACACCCCCACTGAAAAAGGTCTAGCGACGCCCCTGATTATAACACCCGAGAATAAAAATAGTAGTATATATTAATGCGTTTTGTATATTTACATATTATTACCTTTTCTTTTACAAGTGTCACAGACGTTATATATATATTTGAATCCTTTTGGAGACCTTTTGCTTTATTTGAATGTTCCACTACATTAACATCCGCAACTAACCTACGATTAAACATTGAAATGAATATCAATAAAACAGATAAAGCTAACAAATAAAGATGAGTATTTGGAGGGCTTGGTTATCCAGTGGTATAATGCATAATAATGGACCTATTATTAGATTGTGAATGATGACAGATTTGGTTTTGCCTAAGGATGGGGGGGGGGGTGGGTGGGCACTTGCCCCTACTCTCGATCCCTCGTTATTTATCCCGTTAGGTTATCCTTGCTGACACACATCGTATTGTAACCTCTGTAAAAAAAAAGCTGTTTAAATTAAATTATTATTATTATTATTATTATTATCATCATCATTATCATTATCCTCTGCGATACAAATCAATGAAATGGGTCTCAATCTGTCATGCAAAACAGGCGCGTACGCAGGGGGGGGGGGGGGGTTGGGGGGTTGGGGGTTAACCCCCCTTTTTATGTGTGTATTTTGGAGGACTCCCCCCCCCCCCCTTGGGTGTTTTTTTGTTCCTCTTACCCCCCCCCCCCCCCCCCCACTTATTAAGCGGCTGTCTGTGTCGTTGCGAAAATTTCGTCCGGATAACAAAATGTTAACCAACTCCACCCCCCCCCCCCTAGAAAAAATCCTGCGTACGCTACTGATGCTAACTATTACCTGATTACTTTAGTAAAAATCATAATAACAGGCCCTTGGTGTATATTTTTCTATTGATTATCACCATTGTATCAATACAAATAGGTTTCTCATGCTCACATTTCAACAGTCCCTCCTAAATACAATTTTAAAAGAAATAATAGAAGTAATCAATCCTTGTTTATCATAGAAGTGGTCCATTGCCATTTGTTAACTTTTCGCATCGACGTCCTGAAACGTTCAACTTTTCCGTCCTGTTTCCTCTTAACGGTGTAGTACTTTGGACAGTAGAATCGTCCAATTTCGTAGGACTATACAGGAAAGAGTACACTTCCAGTAAAACAAAACATTTAGTGATTTGCTTCGATTCCTAAAATATATGATCAAATCAATACCCTTGCGGATGATGCCATCGATGACAATGCTGAGTAGAAGTCATCGTGATACTGACCCGGGAGTGTCAGGTTCTTCAGATGAGGCATCGTACAGATGAACCTAGCGATATCACGTGATGCAGAGGAACGTTTACTGAGATCCCAACCAGGAGTCTTTAGAGTCTCAATCTGTTATGATAGTAACATTGTGTCAAATGAATAATTTTCAACACCCACTAAAACTACATTCAAGATCCAGCAATATGTTTAAAATTACATTAATATCACTGCAACAATGAAAAACTCTTAACACAATCATATATATTGTATGATGTTGTACAAGCCTTGACACATGAAATTAGCACTAATTTCGATAGTTCTTGGATTCTTTTTAGACCGATATAATGGTGTTTATTCATAACTGAGAGGTAATGACGGAGGTGATTTATGGATATTTGATTAATCCATGCAATCGGGACTGTGGCATTGTGGATAAAGAAGATTATATTTTCTACTTCATATTGACCTAACGGAGTAGTGGGGAAATATAAATAAAGG